CACATTTATTGATTTTCGTATGTTAAACCACCCTTGCATTCCTGGGATAAAGCCTCCTTGGTCATGGTGAATGATCTTTCTGATGTGCTGTTGAATTCAGTTTGCCATTATTTTATTGAGGATTTTTGCAGGGATATTCATTAAGGAAATTGGCCTGTAGTTCTCCTTTTTGGAGGTGTCTTTGTCTGGTTTTGGGATGAGAGCAATATTGGCTTCATAAAATGAGTTAGGCAGTGTTCCTTCCCTTTCTATTTCATGGACCCATTTAAGGAGAGTTGGTATTAGTTCTTTAAATGTCTGATAGAATTCAGCAGTGAATCCATCAGGTCCTGAACTTTTCTTTTTTGGGAGGCTCTTCATGGCAGCTTCAATTTCTTTTTGTATTACAGATCTATTCAGGTGGTTAATATCCTCTTGGTTCAGTTTTGGGTGGTTTTAAGTTTCTAGAAATCTGTCCGTTTCTTCGAGATTTTCTAATTTTTTGAAGTGTAGGCTCTCAAAGTAGTCTCTGATAATTTCCTGGATTTCTGTGGTGTTTGTTGTTATCTCTCCTTTTGAATTTCTGATTTTATTGATTTAGGTTTTTTTCTCTCCACATTTTAGTCAGGTTTGCCAGGGGTCTGTCAATACTATTTATTTTTTCAAAGAACCAGGTTTTTGTTTCATTGATTCTTTGTATGGTTTTTTTTTGGTTTCTAGTTCATTGATTTCAGCCCTTATCTTAATTATTTCTTTCCTTCTGCTTGTTTTGGGATTTTCTTGTTCTTGTTTTTCTAGGAGTTTGAGCTGTAGTGTTAGGTCATTGATTTGAGATCTTTCTGTCCTTTTAATATATGCACTCGTGGCTATAAACTGTCCTCTTAGGACTGCCTTTGCTGTGTCCCATAGGTACCAGTAGGTCGTGTTTTCATTTTCATTAATTTCCAGGAAACTTTTAATTTCCTCCTTTATTTCATCATGATGATTAAATTCTTGGCCATTGGTTATCACTTTAGCCTCCAGCCTCCTCTCCTTCCTGGAGATCAGAAGATGATTCTCAAAGTCCCAACCCTCTTCCACTTGGTTGATTCTTCTGTCAACCATTCCACATCCTCTAAGAGTGACCTCATTAGCATGAACTCAGGTAGGTTGAAAGAGATCTTATAAAGAACAAGAGACTGCTTCTCTCATCCCACCACTCAGAAAAGCACAGGGCTCCCACAGCTCTAGCTAGAAACCAAGGTTGAAGACAAAATGTACATTTCTTATATGCACAAAATATCAGTAGAGGTTAGTGAGAGGTAGTCTTGTGGACTATCTTCACAATACTGCCCTCATCTTTTGTTCCTAAAGGATCTTAAGATATCTTGACAAGACCAGCTTAGCAGCAGTGCAAGCCTTCAACTATCTGCGTGAGCATCAGGTTTCCAAAGTGACTATGGGGAACTATCCTGGCACCATGGCATAGACTCCCATAGGGTTTTTTTTTAGTGTATATTATTGTATAAAATGGTTTCATTGTTATATTTTCATACATATAGTGTACTTTGATTAAATTCAGTCCCCTTGTCCTCTTTCTTGTCCTCCCTTACTACTCTTTCTTGTCCTCCCTTTCCCCATTAAATTTTTAATGGGTTTCATCATTTTACTCTAGCACATGCATACAAAGTGCTTCCATCATATTCATAGAGCTTTGAAACAAGCAACAATTCAAGATTCCCAGCAGCATGCTGTCATAGGCAGAACATTTGGGTCACACACATGCCCAAAAATGCATATGTTGTTTGCTGCTAGAATGGCTCGAGTGGTAGAGCACCTGCTTAGCAAGCACATAGGTCTTGAGTTCAAACCCAGTGCCCAGTGCCACCAAAAAAAAGCATATGTTAAAGCCCCACTCCTGATGTGATGGTAATGAGGAGGTGAAGCCTCTGGGAGATGATTTGGTTTGAATGATGCCATGAAGGTAGAACTCCCATGATGGGATTAGAGTCCTCCTAATAAAAGGAAACAGAGATCAGATCTCTCTCTCTCTCTCTCTCTCTCTCTCTCAATCCCCATGCACCCCCATACACCAAGAAAGCAACTACCTGCAAACCAAGAAGAGAGCCTTCACCAGAATCCCACCAGGCTAGCATCCTGATCTTGAACCTCTCAGCCCCCAGAACTTTAAGAAATATATTTCTGTTGCTTAAGTCATCCAATCTATGATACATACTCTGTCATTGCAGTCTGAGTGGACTGAGACAGATACGCAGAAAGACAAGGACATTTATTGACTCCTGGAAGGGCAAGTAGGTAGCTGTAGCCCGGCATGGCAGGGAGGCTACAGTAGAGACAGTAAGCAGGTTGCTCTGCTCATCCTCCTCACCTGGGCACCCAGAGACTGAAGCAGCCACTGTTTCCAGTATCACTAATCACTGTACCAAGGGCATGGGAGAGTTTGGATGTAGGGGAAAGGTCTTGCAATTATGTGCTCCATCCTGGGAATGACTTTGTCTTTGTCTCTCACAACTCACTGTCCAGAATAGACAACAGCAGCTAGCAAGTGTGGTCCTAACCCTGTGCCTGCAGTGTGTTCTGATCTCAGTGCTGATCAAGGAAAATTATATAACAGAGTGGCAGGAGCACACTATGAGTTTTATTTAGATGCTGCTTTGATTGAGTTGGGTGCAAATCATGACATAAACCAAGTGAACAGCAAGAGGGGGACCAGATAGGACTCTCATGGCATTTGTCTTCTCTGTGGCTTGTAATGTTTGCAAAGTATGCAAAGCAGAAGGCTCTGATTGTTTATTTGAGCTATATTTAAAACAAATGGATGTGTAAAACTTGAGTTTGGCCTTCACAGGCATTTGAGCTAACAGGCTCAGCTTGTTGCACCAAAATAAACAGCATAGGGACAAAATACAAAGGTTATCTTTTGCTATTTGTATAATAGTGCCCCAAATGGAGGAGTAGTGGAGATTCTTGGAAGATAACAGAAATTACTACCACATCATCTTTATAAGAAAAGGATACACTGGGTTTAATGAGACATTTGAGAACAGTCATGCTCACAATTTTTATTTCCACATATTCCCTAGAGAAAAAAATATTAATTCAATACTTGAGCCAGGTGCAGTGGTGCACACCTGTGATCCCAGCTATGTGGAAGGTGTTACATAGGAAGATTGAGCAAAAATTTGAGAAGCTACCTGAAAAATAACTAAAAATGCAAAAAAGTATGGGGGGGGGACTGACATTCCCACCTTGAGGCACCACATTTTCTTTTATCCCTACATTCTGTTTCAGCCATGTTGACCATCTTTCAGTCCCTTGTAGTCACCTTGCTTCCTCCCACACAGGGCCTTTGGGTATAATGTTCTTACCTCCAGACCCAGGTGGCTAATGAAACTTCAAAGTTCAGCTCTACCTAATTCTACATTGGAGTACACTAATCTCCTCCAATAAGAGAATACAGGTGTTGAAATGCTACTGTTTTATACTATTTACCCACATTCTAAATTTCCCAATTTTTATACAAGACCTGGTGTATGTTAGTCTCTAAATGAAAGAACTCGTCAACAAAAATGGCTCATCCTTTCTCAAATCATGTGTGTGTTAGGTGTGAGGATCATTAAATTGGTGAAGTGAGTCCTGAGTAGCATTTAAAATAAGAGAGAATACATTAGTGTGCATCCACTTAGAAGCATCTGTGCGTAATATAGTACTATGCATGTATGTGAGCACATATATGTTCTATATATGTACACACAAGTACATATACTATGTGTATATACATAGTGTACATATACATTATATATGTGCATATACATATGTAAATACATATGTGAGCATATATATGAATGCACATGTATGTATATATACATATATATGAACATACATCTAGTCCCATATATATATAGAGAGAGAGAGACAGAGAGAGAGAGAGAGAGAAATCCATGTGCAGGATTGTGATGTAAACTTTGTTTCTTAATCTATGTCCCCACTCAAGAGAAAGATGATGGGCTGATGGGCTGGAGGCATAGCTCAAGCAGTAGAGTTCAAGCCTAGGAAGTATGAAGCTCTGAGTTAAAAAAAAAAACAGAGGGATCAGAGAGTTAAAGCTGCTGGCCTAATATTTTCCAGTCTTTCTCCATGTATTGGGGACATTTAATTCTCTCTAGAGATGGCACCGTAGATATTTTGAGTTTTCGCTTTCACCAGTGCAAACTCAGAAGGTTCCCTACATTACTCAGAGTAACCCACGGTAGGAGAGCTAGAGCTGTCCAAAAACTGAAAATGTCTTCTCCATCAAGTGGGAAGACAGGAGGAGGGGATGGAAAATGTAATAAAAGTAGAAGAGGGTGTGTACGCCACCAAAATTAGAGCAAAATTCAAGAAAGGAGCACAGGAATGTTGAGTGGGAAGTATTGCTTAAAGACAGAATTTGCATGTATGCGGATGAGAATGACATCAATGTTAGCCATCAAGGTTAGCTAGAGAAAAATAAAAGTTAAATCAATAAATTCAGAAAAAGACTGTAGTTCAGCTAAGACTTGGAGAGGAAAAGAGACAGAAAAACAAGGTGTGCAAACAGTCAGAAGGAGGAATGGCTTTGCGTTAGTTTTACAACTGTGAGGCAGCCAAGAACACAGTGGGACTAACGCCAAGAAAAGACACTATTGCGCATGCTCGACTTGCTGTTGTCGTGGCAGCGGACGCCTACAAAGATAAACTACGCCTCAGGAGAACCGCTGCCTGCAAATGAAGCTGTCATTAGGGTCGAAGCTCTACTTGGTCTGCTTTTGACCTATTTGGGGAAACGTCTGAGGAGGAACTTCGAAGGGGTTTTCTTGACCACCAAAAACGATGTTATAAAGAGAATGGGGAAGAGTTGCTCAAAATTTGAGTTGGAGATGGACTGGAGTCATGGCTTAGTCTGTACAAGTGCTTGCTTAGAAAGCTCTAGGCCATGAGTTCAATCCCCAGTACAAGAAAAAAAAAAAAAACCACAGATATAGAGTTGGAGCATGAAAGGAGAAAATTTCATTCATTTCCTGTGTGTCTGGTAGAAATTGCTGGGGTACAGTAGCTACCATTTATTGAGCATTTACTTCTGGACAGTCACTTTTTTTTAACACCTTTTCTATTTTATCCGCTTAATCCTACAATCATCCTATGATGTGGTAGTATAAGTTGTTAGGCTGGCGCTCTGCCACTTGAGCCACTCCACCAGCCTGGTGATGTGGTATTGCCAGTGTGCCCATTTTACAATGAAAGAAACTGACACTTCTAGAAGGTCACTTTCAGAATGTCCCAGTGAGTGAGCGCCAGCATTAGGATTTGAAATCATCTTCTGGTTTGGAAGCATTAACCACTGACAGCACCGTCCACTCCACTGCAAGGTCTTGGAAAAGATCCAGAAGGAAGCCACAGCTCAAACAGGTGAAGTATGGTTGAGCTAGGGTGAGCCTAGCTCACCCCAGGAATCTTAGTTGCTCCACCTTTCTCTAGGAAGTTCCATCACGTCACTGGTGTCTACATCCAGTTTCCGGGGGGCAGGATGTCACCAAGGGTACCATTCCTTCTGCGCCAGTCAAAAGCAACCAGGGCACCCAGTAAGATGAGGACCAGGCTGGCCAGCCCCAAACGGATGAGGTTCCCCTGGGTATAGTCCAGAGGGACAGACTCTAGAGGCAAAGGGGAGATGGAGACTGTCAGGTCCATGGCCACAATTTCTCAGCCCTGCCCTTCAGGTCTCTAAAGGGGTGGGGATGGAAAACATCCAAGTTGAACAGGGTCCGTAGGAGAAGAGAGGCTCTGAGCTCTTGGGTCTGAGAGAGGAGGGCTGGGGCCTGGACCCCTGGGTCTGAGGGAGGAGGGCTGGGTTCTCGACCCCTGGGTGTAAAGGAGCAGGGCTGGGACTGGACTGGGATGGGAAGCTGGTTCTGGGTCTTGGGGCCCCTTACCCTCTAAACTGATGACCAGCGGTTGGCTGCGCTGTGACAGAACGTAGGGGGCGGAGGGCGTGTGGTAGTAGCAGCTGTAGGTACCCGGGGCCAGGTCGCCGGGCAGCAGGAAGTCAGCCCAGGGCTGCTTCGAGTCGCGGTACTGCAGTGGGGCTGCCACGCCCACGCGGTACAGCGCGAAGCTCATGCCGGATACTTGTCCCGCGCAGCGAAGGCTCACGTTGGCCCCGCGCACCACCACCGGCCCCGGCAGCGCTACCAGGGATGGCCGTGGCAGCTGGTCTGCGTGGGATGACAGGGACCTGAGTCTGTCTCTCCCCCTCCCCCTCCGATGTGCCCCTGAATTTCCCAATCTACCTACCCAGCTCTGTCTCTCTCCTATGTCCCCTTGTGTCCCTGTGCCCCTCTTCCCCCCTCCCTTACCCCATCTTTGTGCCCCTTCCCCTTCCCTGACCCCAGGACCCTCACCTGTGACCAGCAGTTCCAGGATGTCGCTGGACTGGGACCAGACATCCAGCCCCCAGTCTGTCTTGCGGTAGCAGCAGTGGTACCTACCCCCCTGGGCCGGTGTCACCTCCTCCAGGAAGAACTCGGCCAGCTCCGTGGACACATCCTGGAGGAACAGGGGGTTGACCTCTGCAGACTTGAAGAGTGCAAACCTCCCGGCGGGTTGAGGTGCGCTGCACCTCAAGGTTACGTTGACCCCGGGGGTTACAATTGCAGCTGGCTGAGCCTCCAGCCGTGGCTTGGAGTAGGAGGCTGGGGAAACAAAAATTATAAAGAGGGCTGCGTGAATCCTGGAACCTCCAGGGAGCCCCAGGAGATAAAGGGGAAGTTGGAGAAGGAGGAAAGTCACCTTGGACAAACTCCTTCCGTTTTCTTTTTTTCTATTATTCATTTATGCATACAATGTTTGGGTCATTTCTGCCCCCCTTCCCCCAGCCCCCTCCCTTACCCACCTACCCCCTCGGCTATCAGGCAGAAACTATTTTGCCCTTATCTCTAAATTTGTTGAAGAGAGAGTATAAACAATAATAGGAAGGAACAAGGGGTTTTGCTAGCTGAGATAAGGATAGCTATACAGGGAGCTGACTTGCATTGCTTTTCTGTGCATGTGTGTTACCTTCTAAATTAATTCCTCTTGAACTAACCTTTTCTCTAGTTCCTGGTTCCCTTCTCCTATTGGCCTCTGTCGCTTTAAAGTATCTGCATTAGTTTCTCTGCATTGGGGGCAACAAATGCTAGCTAATTTTTTGGGTGTCTTACCTATCCTCATACCTCCCTTGTGTGCTCTCACTTTATCATGTGCTCAAAGTCCAATCCCTTGTTGTGTTTGCCCTTGATCTAATGTCCCCATATGAGGGAGAACATACGATTTTTAGTCTTTTGGGCCAAATTACCTCACTCAGAATGATGTTCTCCAGTTCCATCCATTTACTTGTGAATGATAACATTTCATTCTTCTTCATGGCTGCATAAAATTCCATTGTGTATAAATACCACATTTTCTTAATCCATTCATCAGTAGTGGGGCATCTTGGCTGTTTCCATAACTTGGCTATTGTGAATAGTGCTGCAATAAACATGGGTGTGCAGGTGCCTCTGGAGTAACCTGTGTCACATTCTTTTGGGTATATCGCCAAGAGTGGTATTGCCGGATCATATGGTAGATCAATGTTTAGATTTTTAAGAAGCCTCCAAATTTTCTTCCAGAGTGGTTGTACTAGTTTACATTCCCACCAGCAGTGTAAGAGGGTTCCTTTTTCCCCAAATCCTCTCCAACACCTGTTGTTAGTGGTGTTGCTAATGATGGCTATTCTAACAGGGGTGAGGTGGAATCTCAGCGTGGTTTTAATTTGCATTTTCTTTATTGCTAGAGATGGTGAGCATTTTTTCATGTGTGTTTTGGCCATTTGAATTTCTTCTTTTGAGAAATTTCTGTTTAGTTCACTTGATCATTTCTTTATTGGTTCATTAATTTTGGGAGAATTTAGTTTTTTCAGTTCCCTATATATTCTGGTTATCAGTCCTTTGATGTGTAGCTGGCAAATATTTTCTCCCATTCTGTGGGTGGTCTCTTCAGTTTAGAGACCATTTCTTTTGTTGAGCAGAAGCTTTTTAGTTTTATGAAGTCCCATTTATCTGTGCTATCTCTTAGTTGCTGAGCTGCTGGGGTTCTATTGAGAAAGTCCTTGCCTATACCTATTAGTTCCAAAGTATTTCCTACTCTTTCCTGCACCAACTTTAGAGTTTGTGGTCTGATATTAAGACCCTTGATCCATTTTGAGTTAATATTGATATAGGGTTATAACATGGATCTAGTTTCAGTTTTTTGCAGACTGCTAACCAGTTTCCCCAGCAGTTTCTCCTTCTGTTTTCAACCTCATTTCTCTGAAAAGGAGGGAAGAGCTTGACTACAATCAAGGATTGTCATAACTAGCTGCAAATCAGTGAGCAGGTCAGACACTTCTGAGCTCTCCTCCACAGTTTATTGTTTCCTCCTTTGTTTTTGTTTTGTGGTACTGGGGCTTGAACTCAGGGCCTACACCTTGAGCCATTTCACCAGCCCTTTTCATGTTAGGTATTTTTGAGATAGGGTCTCGCAAACTATTTGCCCAGGCTGGCTTCAAACCACGATCCTCCTGATCTCTGGCCTCCTGAGTAGCTAGGATTACATGTGTGAGCCACCAGCACCCAGCCTTCCTTTGTTTTTGAGACAGGGTCTGCTTTGTAGCCCAGGCTAACCTAAAACACTCAATCCTCCTGCCTCAGCCTCCCCAGATCTGAGATTACAGGCATGCACTAGCACACCTGGTTCCTCCACAGTTTTAAAGCAAAGCTTCAAAGGGTTTTGTTCTGGAAATGGTCATTTTAAATAGCTCTCTGGAATGTTTGCAACATATGGCAGTAGTTGCTGCTGAGTATTGTTACTATTGTTTTTTATTGTCCCCCAAAATGCTTGGATTGGAAACTTAATCCCTAATACAACAATGTTGAGAAGTGGAAATTTAAGAGGTGACTAGATGGATCAATGGCACTCTCATCAGAGTGCACTCTCTCTCTCTTTTTTTTGGTGATGGGTTTTTTCGAAATAGGATCTCTTGAATTATTTCCATGAGATGGCTTCTAACTGTGATCGTCCTGATCTCTGCTCTTGAGTAGCTAAGATTACAGGTGTGAGCCACTGGTGTCCTGCTAGAGTGCACTCTTGATATGAAAATGAGTTTGGTCCCCTTCTTCTCCTGCCTACCATGCCCATTGCCATATCATGATGCAACAAGAAGCCTTTGCCACTTTCAACACTTTGATCTTGGACTTCCCAGCTTCTAGAACCAGAGCCAAATGCACTTCTGTCATTTATAAATTGCCCCACTCTGTGGTATTTTGTCAAAGCAGTACTATACAAACTAAGACAGTTATCAACACTTGCTCTCTATTTAGAAAAAAAATCATGTTGGATTTCTACTACTTGAGCCACTCCACCAGCAAAATGAAAAATTCTTAAGGTACAAATTTAATAAATTCGACCTCTTTAAAAATTCTAGGTTATGTATGCCAAGAAGCAAATGAAGCTAGAAGACAAGTGATAGCGTTGGCAGAAACTGAGTATTCATAAATCGTATAAATTAATACTATCAGAAAGAACCCAGAACCAATTCTGTAGTAATAGAAAGAAAGCCTAGTACATGAATAGACAGTTCACAGAAGAAGTCCAATTGACTGAAACACATTAAGAGGGAAAATACTGCTTAACTGTTATAGTAATCATTCAAAAAACAACAAGATTATTTCACCAATTTGGTTATCAAAAATTAAAACAGTAGTTAATATTGAGTTTGGGTGAATGCATAGTGAAGCAGGCTCTTAAGAACACTTGAACGCTCCATTTCAGAGGGAAATATGTCTATCAAAATACATATAGGGGGGCTAAGATGTAGCTCAGTGGTAGAGCATTTGCCTAGTATGGGTTCAATCCCCAGCACCAAAAAAGAAAAGACAAAAAAAATGGATACACACCTAATAATCCTATTGCTGCACTCTAGACAAATGCATATACATATACACAAGAAGAGCTCATGGTAGCATAGACTGTAAGGGGAAAGCATTGAAAACAACATAAATGTATATCAAAAGGGAATGTCCAGGACTGGGAGCATGGTTCAAGTGGTAGAGTGTCTGCCTAGAAAGCCCAAGGCCCTGAGTTCAAACCCCTGTACCACCACCAAAAAAAAGGGATAGCCAAACCAACTATAAACCAGCCGTCCAAATATCTCCAAGACAGATTTTACAATGGAAGATGCAGAATGGGATGAATCATGAAATATCAATTTTGCTCTGGCAAGGAAAAAAGTATATAAATGTATGCATGCATGGAAAATTTTCGTAAGGACTCAGAAGATTATTTAAGGAGATAAGAAAAGGGAAGAGGGGGGCTATTATATGCCCTTTGGTAATGACTGAAGTTTTAAAAGCATGAATACATATTAGGTATGTCATTTAAAAAACTAATCTTAAATAAGTTACTAAATCAACTCAAGTGATTGTTATTTGAAGTTGTAGCATGGTCTCTCCCATCAGAAAACCTAGGAAGTAATCCATCTCAGGGTAATGGAGACTCCTTTTGTGCAAAGCCAGTTCCAGCGGGAAAAGCTAGGCATTGCAAGAGATCCTGTTTCCTGAGCCCAGCACCATACAGACTCTGAACCAATAGTTTTACCCCATGTGGTTGTATTAAGGAACGAAGAGAGGAAAAGAGTGGGGGGGTGGGGGAGGAAGGAATGAGGGACTAAGAGGGAAAGGGAAGGGAGGGAGGGAGGCAGAAAAGAAGAGAAGGGAGGAGAGAAGAGGGAGGGTAGAAATTAAAAGAAAGGGGAGAAGGAGGAAGTGAGGAAGAAAGGGAGGAGGAAAGGGGGAATGGGAGGGGAGGAAGGAAAGAGGAAGTGAGGAAGGAAGGGAGGGAAGGGTAAAAGAAGGGACAGGAGAAAGAAAGGGGGTAAAAAAGGAAGGGAAGAAAGGGAAAGAAGAGAGGGAAGGAAATATGGGGTGAGGTTGAGCTCCTATATAAAATCTGAGTATTTGGAAATTGGTTATCAGCAAGGTAAGAAGAATGGATGGGGTGTAACTCACCAGACGGAGTGAAGTCTGTGTGACACAGAGGCCCTGTAGAAGGTTTAAAAGCTAGTTCTTTTTAAAGCCCTTTGTGGCTACCAGTCCCCAACCTCAATGGAACCAGGGATGTGAATCCTCCGCCCACCTTCCCTCTGGAAAACAAGAATCCTATCCCCACCTCCTCCTCTCCCAACAGCTAGAAACCCAGACTCCATTGTCTCCCTACTTAAGAAGTCTGAACTCAGCCCCATCTTGTCTTTAGACCCAAGAGTTCACACTGCTTATTTCCAGGGGACAATTATCTGCTCCCATTGTTTCTCCTCTTTGGGGTTCCGGAATCTGGAGCCCCAGTTCCCTCCTCCTTCTGGAGAAAGGAATCCCATCCCCAGGGACCCAGGAGTCCTGACCTCTACCATTCCTCTGAATCAGAATCCAGGACTCTACATTCCCTGTCCCTGGTTCAATCCCCTACTGACCTCCTGTCTCAAGATCCAGGGATACCTGTCCCTTTCCCCACCCCTAGTAGTGACCTGAACCCAAGTCTGGACCCCCCCCCGCCCCCCCACCCCTAGTCCCAGCCAGGAACCCAGGCAGAAAGGACAGGAGGCTCACAGGTCAGCAGCTGAAGAAGGAGTGCCAGGGCCATGATGGGCAACTCTGAGCAGAGCTTGAGCAAGGGTTGTCTGTGCCCTCTCTCCTCCCAGGAAATGAGGCAACAACTGAAAGCCAGGCCAGAGCCCTGTATAGGGTAGGGGGAAGTCTGGTGGGGCCCTGGGTGACTGTGTCACAGCCCCACTGCAGGTGGAAAAAGTTGGAAGAGGGTACAGTCATAGTCTATTGTGTTTATGAATTCAACTTCAAAAATTAAACAAAAACCCCACCTATTCTATGAGACCCTTGCTGCACTGTTCCAAGAGCACAGAAAAGTCTCAGACTCCCTAACTGCCCTCACACAGCTCTCAAAGAACCATAGAGCATTGTGAGAGCCTAAAGAAGGTCTCTAACCCATCAATATGACAAGCTGAGGTCTAGCTGCGACCTCAAATAACAGTTCACCTTCTACAGGCCTCAGTTTCTCCATCTATAAAATGGACTCATGTAATAAATTCTAAAATGAGGACAAATTTATTCTGACTTGGGTGAGCTGCTGCAGGAGGACTAGAAGTCGCTCCTTCGGACACAACGACTTTTCTAGGTTGTCTGCTGTGCAAAGTAAGGATTGAACTTGACCTCTGGCCAGCCTTGGACTTCTGTTCTGTACTAGTGCGCATGAGCGGACTCCGACCCGGCTCCGGGACCACAACTCCCAGACTGCTTTTCGCCTTCGTCTCGTCACTTCTGTCTCAGAGCGCACGCACGCGCAGCCCAGGTTGCGGAGCCTCGCTGAGACCACAACTTCCGGAGTGCTCCGCGTCCTCGCCGCCGGCGTCAAGACCACGATGGCTGCGAGTAAGTGCCAGCACCTTAAGCGCGCGGAGGTCGGATAGCTCCGGGACCCGTGGGCAGTCCCGGGGGTGGCACGTCATGAAGCACCTAGGCTGCTGGGGTCCATCCCAGAAGGGGACGCAGCAGTCACGAGGGGACTCCTTTAGGGTGGGGGTAGCACGAGAGGGTTAGAGGTCACCGCCGTTGACCCACCGCACACCCCTCCAGGAGTCACCGCCTTCCTCAAGGATGCCTGGGCCAAGGAGCCAGGACTGGTCGTGTCCTTCGCTATCGGGGGCATTGGTACGTATGTGCCCCTGGCGCGAACGTGCGTCACCCACCCCCACACTGCCTTGTTGCGTCCCACGGCCCCACTCCAGCCTTGGCCTTCCGTTCCTCACCCCACTGGCATCCCCTTGCCTACTCCCCTTACAGTAATGACATTACTGCAATCCCTCCACCACCACCCTCCCCACCCCCACACACCTACGCAAGAGGTGCACAGACAGTCCAGAGGTTTGCAACCTTGGCTGCAACCTTGACAACACCCGAGGGCTCAAATAACGCGCCCTCCCCACGCCACCTTCGCCCCCGCTCTTAGATATTCATTTGAGGTGGTTGGGACGAGGGTGAGCCGGGGAACGTGTCTGGTGTTAATCCCACTGTGATGGAGAACCCCTGGCCTGGAACAGGGCTACGCACACTTCAGGCGCCCTGGAGCCCCTGGGATAGAGGTGTGTGCGTGTGGGGGGTGTCTTTGTTAAGTGAATTTCTGATTCCATATGTCGAGGGTGGGGCCTGGGATTCCGCATTTCTTTCTTTTCCTTCTAACAAGTTGCCAAGTCTTGTCAATGTTGCTGGCCCTCAGGGCGCCACTGGGTAAGGTTCTGAAACACAGCCACTGAGCTCTACTGATGCTACAAGACACAAGCCTAATTTCATACCTAGTGTGCTAGTATGTAGGCTATCAACAACTGTTTTATGTTGAGATGATGTTTGGGGCATACCAGGGAAAATATATTTTATGAAATTCATTTTATTTCTGTCTGTTGACTTTGGTGTGGGTACTAGAAAATGTAAAGTTACACGTGGCTGTTAACTTTGATCAGACAGTACTGGCCTAGAATATTCCTTTTCATACACCCTACCCCACTCCCCAGACGGACTGTAACTTGTCTGTGACTGTTCTTGGTAATAGCCCTCTTGCCCTCCAGTTTGCAGCACTCAAGTTGCCTCTGAACTGTCCCCAGGACACACCCTTGCTCCACAAGCACACCTACACACAGTGCTCTCCTGTGAACACCCCCACTTCCTCTGCCCTTGTGGCTTAATATATCTGTGTGTATTGGGCTCCTGTCCTACTTCCACCTACCCACCTTCAGAGTTCTAAACCCTCCTACGCACTTGTGCCATAAAGCTTACAGAGCAAAAGGTCCTTTTGGAAGGGCCGGCTCTTGGCTCTTCCTGCTCCCCTTCAGCCCCCAACCAAGGTTCAGCTTTTGCCCCTTTCCTTACCCCCCAAGACCCACCTTTCCCTGTGCCTCACCCCTGTGTCTCTCCACAGCTTTAATTATGCCTGTTCTCAGCCCCTACACGAAGTACTCTGTCATGATGAACAAAGCCACACCTTACACCTACCCAGGTGAGCAGGAGCCTGTGTGGATGGAGGGGTAAACATGGATGGGTGGGCCTTTCCTGAGCAGGTATTTCATGTTCTTTTAAATTGACATGTTCACATCCCATTCTGTTCTTGTGCTTTGAGTTCCTATTTTCTTTCCAGATTTCTATTCCTCTCTGGATTCCTGTATCTATTGCTTTCCAAGTCTGTTACCCCATCTCTGCTGGAGATATTTCATTTCCCAACTCTACCTCTCTGCTGATTTTATGACCCATTCACTCTTTCTTTCCTGAATCCCTTTTCCTTCTCTGAACATAAATTGACAGACCAGCCAATCTCAGGGACCAGCTGGTCTCAGTGGCCTACCTCCTGTCCACAGTACCTCTCCGAGACGATGGGAACATGCCTGACATACCCAGCCATCCTCAGGACCCCCAGGGCCCCAGCTTGGAGTGGATGAAGAAACTGTGAGCACTTCTACTGACAGGAAGGAGGTCCCCCTCTCCTGTGGCCCCCAATAAAAATGTGAAAACCAACCCCAGAATCTGAGTGTGTGATCAGAGGTGGAAGCAGTAGACAGTGTGTGGGGAGGGTCAGTTTATTGGAGTGGGGTCAGTCAAAGGGTGGGCTGGCAAGGGTGGGGTAGGGCAACAGTTTGTCGGGCCCTCGAGAAACCCAACTTGAATCCAGGGCCTCATCTGCTTCAAAGCCAAAGTCTTCCTCAACCTTAATCTGGGGAGATAAAGGAACAAGGCAGGAGTGGGCCTGGGGAACCTAGAAGACCCCCCTATTGGCCTCCTAGGTGCTGCTGTTCCAGGCCCGACAACTTCCTGCTCTCAGGCAAACCCAGATTTCTTGCCCCTCACCCTCCTCCCCTTCCTCCTCCTCTACTCTCACCATCTATAGTCATTTCCTTCTCCAAGTCTTTCTCCTAGCCCTAGCCAGACTTTTTTACAGCCCCTTCTTCCCTGCTCTACCTCTGGACTCCCCCAGCCTTGGGTCCTTTACAGCACAGAAACCAAAAGCAGGAACTCTACCACTCTGTGGCCCCAGCCCCAGGCTCTTCCTACCTGCATTGGGGCCAGTTCTGGTGTCAGTGCTGCTCCTGACCGGCACCCGTCCCGTGGTGCTCGCCGCCTCTTCCGCCCACTGGGCCCCTCACCAGGGGCTGGGCTGCTGGGTTCTGGGGGTGCAGGAGTCCTTCTGGGAGGGGACAGCCCCTCCTTGTCTGGAGGCTCATTCTCGGCATTGCCTGGGGTGGGGGCATCTGTGCCCTGGCTGCCCTCATCCTGGTGGGGGAAGGTATCTGAAGGCTGTGTCCTGGGCTCTTGGTTCTCCCAACCGACCCAGAGACCAGCACTCACCTCCAACACAATGGTGAACTGGCTGGCCCGGTAGTCATCCCCATAGGAGTCCAGCACCCTCATGAGGAACCTGTATGGATGGATATACTGCCAGTGGAACAGCTTATCTTTTAGGAGAGACAGATGATAGGGCCCAGCCCTTGCTCTACCTAAAGCCAAAGCTGTCCTAGACCTAGAAGGTTTAGAGCTCTACAGTGTGAGCATAGTAGCCAAGCCCTTGATCAACTAGTGGAACTTTGGGCAAGGTGTATTGTCTGACCTTTAGCCTCCTGCTCTGTCAGTGACAGGTGACAGGGCTGGATGATGTGCTGAGACAGTTCTGTAAAGGATTTAGTGTGCTGTCAGCATTTGGCAAGTATATAATTCTTATTAATGTCCTCATGCTAATGGAACTTCATGGAACTTGGGGTCTTGCAGGGGATGTGTGATAAGTGAATCAACAAAACAGGTCAGAATGTGGGAAGAGAAGTGACCACACCTCACTGGAACTTGATGGTGGCGAAGCTTACTGAGCAACGTGGTAGTGGCAGTAGAACATTTCTGGCAGGAGGAGCAGCAAGTGTTCAGGCCTGAGGTAGGTGGGCCTGGTGTGTTCTAGATAAGAGCAAAGGGCCACTGAGGTGGGGCCTTATTGGCTGCTGTGAGGGTCACTTTTACTTTGAACCAATCAGATGCCATCAAGAGAGCAAAGGGGCAGGTTGTCTTACATTTGAAGAAGACTATGTGACTATCCAAATTTCTGATACAGTAGGTCTCTGGGGTGGGGCCTGAGAACTTGAGTTTGTGATGAGACCCTAGGTGGCAGGGGCCACACTGAGAACCTCAACTCTATAGGTAGAGGTCAAAAGCCAGGCATGGTGGTACCTATCTATAATCCTACCTACTCAGGAGGAAGAGGCAGGATAATTGAGAGTTCAAGACCAGCCCAGGCAAAAGGTAGCAAGACCCTAGCTCAGAAACAAAAATGAAAAACAAAGGGGCTGGGGCATAGCCCAAGTGGTAGAGGACTTGTCTAGTGTGTGCTAGGCCCTGGATTCCATCCCAACTACTGAGAGAAAAGGAAATAAATAAAAAAACACAAGGCATAATCACCCCAACCAGTCTCACTGAATTATTAAGGAAAGTTCAGCTATGTGCATTCTTTCTCAACTTTTTGAAGTCTAAACCATAAAGGCCACCCAATCCCTTTTATAAATTCTCCTGATCCTATTGAAAAACAAAATCTTGGCTAGCCAGGCAATGATGAAGGCTGAATTCAGCAGGAGGATCGTGAGTTCAAGGCCAGCCTGGGCTACATAGGAAGACCCTGTCACAAAAAAATAACAAAAAACACTCCAGCATAAAAAAAAATCTTGGCTAAAGGTACAAGTAGGTACCAGACTGTAGTGAGAAGAGATTGACAGGTAAGGGAGGGACAGGGAGACCAGAAAGAAAACAGCAATCCAAGGTGAAAGGCCATGTCCCTAGGCCCAGGGTGTTGTCAGTGGAAGTGGAGTGGCTCACACCTCTAATTCTAGCTACTTGGGAGACTGAGATTGGGAGAATCACGGTTCAAGGCTAGCATGGGCAAAATAGTTTAAGAGAACCTATCTCCAAAATAACCAGAGCTAAAAGGACTGGTGGTGTGGCTCAAGTGGTAGAGTGCCTACTTTGCAAGTATGAAGACCTGAGTTCAACCCCAGTCCCGCAAAGGAAAAAAAGGACATGGACTTCTGGGTATTCCAGAGTAGAGGTGACAGGAGCTCGAGAGGAATTCCTAGGGACCAGATGTAGAGCTAAGGGAAAGACACAGAGCACCCCAAGCAGTGGGGGAGGTGTGTGTTCACTGACATGGCACAGATTTGGGGTGAAGATCAGAGTTAGTTGACAGTGGACAGTTAAGAAAGGGACTACAGAATCCAAAGGAGAACTGTAGGGAGAATTCAGAAGCAGGCAGCATTCTGGCAGCCTTTATGCCTTTATGACCAGGGATCATCAGCATGATGACCAGTATAGTTCAGTGGAACTTTCTGTGAGGATCAAAATATCCTGGACCTATCCCAGCAGTCTCTGGTCACCTGGGGCTGTACAGAGCACTTGGCACCCGGTAAGGATAACTGAAGAACTGAGTATTTAGAACTGAGTATTTAATTTCAATTAAAGTCACTCCCTGGGGCTATTGAGCATATAAAACATGGTTACTGCAAGTCCAGGAACTGAACTTTTTAATTCACTTCATTTTAATTTAAGGAAAAATCATCCCTGTGGCTAAATGAGCCCTTGTTTTATTTTATTTTAATTTTTAAAAATTTTTTATTCATTTTAATGAATAAAATGTAATAAATTTAAGTTCAATTTAAATAAAAATCAACACCTGTGGCTGGAGACTATCATACTATACACAAGAAGTCCAGAACTGCTGGGCACCGGTGGCTCACTTCTAGAATCCTGGCTACTTGGGAGACTGAGATCAGGAAGATCACAGCTCAAGGCCAGATTGGGGCAATCTCCAAATAACCAGAGCAAAATGGACATATGTGTGGCTCAAGCAGTAGAGCAAGCATGAAGCCCTGAGTTCAAATCTCAGCCCCACCAAAGGCTGAGCCTTGGAGAGGTGACTGCAGGATGAGGGTAACACAAGAAGAAACAGCTGGGAAGCAGGGACACCACCAGGATATTAGGAAAGGACTCCAGGAAGAGGGTGGGTCACTGGGTCAAATGTGCCAAGTCAAGCAGGCCAGAATGGGAACTTCTGGGTGGCCTGGCTTTGGAGCTGTGCATCACACAGGTCTCTGACCTGCCAGGTCAACAGGGCTCACACCTGAGCTTGTCACCCGCGAGTGCCAGCTCGCAGCAGCCTCGTCCCACATGGTGGGAATGCACTTCGGAGGGGGCATACCACTTGCTCAGTCACACAGCAAATAGGTGCTTGTGTTCCTTTCACGTTTCTGTCTTGCTCCTGTCTGGGGGCTAGTTCTTTCTTCCAAGACCAATTCCACTCTTCTGTTTACCTCAGCCCCACACCTCATCTCCAGACTCATCCTGTGACCCATGAGGATCAGGGAAACAGGGGAGATGTGGAGATGGTGAGAGGTGGTGGACGTGTGTGGGGGCAGAGGCTATGCCCAGAGCGGGCACAGAAGGAGTTACCTGCGTTCCTGCTGGAGTCTCCGAGTTATCCTTTGTACCTGATGGAGCCTGTTCAAGACCCGCTCGTTCACCTGAACAGAGGCAGAAAACATGGTCAGCTGGATTCCACTCATTCTCCCTTTAGCTTATTCAGCATGTTTAGTCGAGCACTTCCTATGTACCAGGCCCTGTGGAGACACCCAAGGGCCTGTAGCCCTACTTATCTATCTCTTCCCACAGCCTAGCACCTCCCTGTCCTCCCCTTCATTCTTGCCAAGCATTCTGGCTCCATGTGATGTCTGATTCCAGAGAGACTTTCCACATGCTGTTCCATCTACTTGGACCACTCTTTCTCCTACTCAAGTCTTAGCTCAGGGAGTCTACTCAGTCCTCTTTTTAAATTATGACACCTCCCCAGTTCTCATGCCAGAACCCTGCCCACCTATCCACTCTTCTCCCATTATTTTTCCTGACAACACTCACCCTATACAATTTACTTATTTTGCTTATCATCTGTCTCCCACCAAGGACACAAACTCCCAGAAGACAGCAATCTGCCTGTGTCCCCAGGACTTTAGCAGAGCCTGCATAAGTAGACCCTCCACCAAACCTAGCTGAATGACTTCAGAACTAATGAATGCTTAATGGATACTGAATGGTCTGACATGCCAAAGATGATGGCAGGAGTGGCCACTTTAGAGAGGGCCAACAGAAGCCCTATAGGCCAAGACCTGAATGATGAATAGGAGACAAGTGACAAGCTAGGAACAAAGCATCTGAGATTCAAGGAACCTGCACAGTTTTCTGAGGACCACAGCCTAGACAAAGGAAGGGAGACATGACACAAAGTTAGTCCAGTGGTTGAAGCATGTGCTCCTCTTGGTTAGAAAGACCTGGACTCAAAATCCCAAAACCCAGCTCTGTGCTTACCATCCATGTGAGCCTGGCAAGTTACCTAACTTCTTCAGCCTGGAAGCATGGCTCAAGCAATAGAGCACCTGCCTAGCAAACGTAAAGCCATTACTAGCAAACCAAACCCCGCTACTGCCAAAAAAAAGGTGAGCAGAGGCTCAAATTGAGTCCACTGGGCCTTTGGCATCCACATATTAAAAAGCATTTGGAACACTTCCTCAGTCTCTCTCCTTCTAGAACACCCAACACCAGTGTTACGGGTTGAGTTGTGTGCCCTCCTCCCAAAAAATGTGCTGGAGTCCTATGTATCTAAGGATGTGACAGTATTTGAAGATGGTGTGCACAGGAGTAACCAAATTAAAATGCGGTCATTAGCGTGGACCCTAATCAAAATGACTGCTGTCGTTATGAAAAGAAGAAACTAAGACACAGACACACAAGGAGAAGTAGTGAGAAGGTGAAGACAACAGTGATGCTTCTACATGCTAAAAAACAAAGACTGCCGCCACCACCACCACCCAAAACTAGGAGGGAGACCTGGACTCAAGCCCCAGCCTGAGGACTCCAGCCCTGCTGACAGACCTCTCCTGTGAAACTACCAGACATCTGTTGTTGAACAGCCCAGGCAAATATAACTCATCTTTGGAGAGCCTCTAAAACACCAGGACCTGACCCTGTACCCCCTCTCTTTACAGCCCTTCAATGGCACCCCTTACTCCCAAGAAAGAAAAATATTCCAAACTTCTTGCAGTGGTGTTGCTGGCCTATGAAGATCTAGGCTCCATCTTCCTTCTCAACAAGGAGGCAGACGCAGTGACTCCCCAGGGAGTTAGTATGGGGCAGAGACCTTGGGGATGGAGCGAGGATCCAAGGGCAAGTCAAGGCAGAGTGGACTGGCCTGAGGGCACCTAGGTCAGAAGCAGGGGATCTGCAGAGTTCGGCCATGATCTGTAAGGTGTATAAGAGGCACCTGGGAATCATCGGAGCACTGAGCTAATGTTGAGAGAAGCTCCTTGAGAAGATTGTTCTCCAAGTGCCCGGCACAATGCCAGACACAACGGTTGCCAACTGAAGGATTCATTCAGCTAGCCAAGGAGAGGAGAGGGTATGTGGACAGAGATGGGAAGGGAGCCAGAGGACTCCAAAACGAGAATCCACACTCACCTACCTGCTCGATCTCCCGGCAGCGCCGACCCAGTGCCTGGTACTTCCTTCGATTGAGTTCCCGCTGGCGACGCCGCCGGCCCCGGGCTGCCTCTTCCTCTTCATCCCGTTCCCGCAGTCCTGAGCCGCCCAGACCACCAGACACAAACTCCACTTCTGTCTCTAGTTCGCTCTCCAAGATGTGACCACCAAACAGGGGAGGCAGCGCCAACTCTGAGCCTGGTGGCGCTGAGAACTCCTCAAAGCCCACAGCTGCCATGGTCCTGAGGATATAGGGGTTTCAGGGACCCTGGATCCAGCTCTCCAGCCCCTTCTACCTCCTCCCTATGACCCAGGAGTCACTCAGACCCAGGAGTCCAGACACTCAACTTCCTTGTTTGTCAGATTTGGGAGTCCGCACAGACCCCTTGTCCTCCTCCTCCCCCAGGTGCTCCAGTCAGACTTGGGTGCTACAAAAGTGTGTAGGGAAAGCAGCTGCACGAACTACAATCCCCATCAGCCCTCAGAGTACAAGGGTGGCTAGGTGCGCATTATGCAGCCACGTTTTCGGATACGCGGTTTTTCACAAAAGCTCGGCCACTCACCCTTCTCTCTGCTCCAGTTCCATCTCTCCTGCTCTGGACGCCCCAAACCTCAGAACTTGAGTCCCAGGCAGCTAGGTAGGGCCGTGCGCAAAACTACCTGTCCCATCAGGCTTCGCGTTTCAGGAAGCCCGTTGCCTCTGGAAGTTGTAGTTTCTTGTATCCGGCTTCGTCCTTCCCCGCCCCCTCTCACTCCCCCACCCCCACCCCCGGTCCACGCTTAAAGCCCCTGCTTTGTAGTTTAACACCACCTCCAGTTGTCCGCGTTGCCACGGTCTTTATTCTTGTCTCAACACCCGTCTTCAAGGCCGAAGCGATTCTCCCGGCAGCAGCCTCTGTCCGCCGAAGGTGAGCTCACTAAACCCCACTTCTCTCTCCTGTTAACCACATCTCCACCCCGGGGAAATTGCTAATAAAGTTGTTGTTTCAAACACTTCCGGGAAGATCTTGGGCGGTGGCCAATCAGAGCGCAACTTTGACTTCACGTCGGCGCGACCTTAGACGTCATCAGTGAGCGTCTACAGTTCTCAGATTGCTAATTTCTTAGAAACCGTTCTGCAAGGAGGGAAAGAGGTGAGTGTGATGGAGGTGAGGGGAGGGCAGGTGGACAAGTACTGGTTCTGGAGGAAGAAGTGTGTAAAGAGAAAGGCGAGGCTTCATAGGTTGCTTGTCCAAAGGTTTTGCATGCTTCCCTAGAATATGGCAGAACAAAAATTGTCCCTGCCCTCTTACAGCTTTAACTGATGCCCGGGAAGCAGGTTTAAACAAGCAGTCATTCAAATAACCATACGTCTGCGAAGCAAGCGCCTTACAGCAGACACGCAGGGCGTTATTACAAAACAACCTGCTGCAGGCTGGAATGGGTGCGCAGGTTAGACAGGTGGAGGATTGAGAACTGAAAGCTGGAGTGTTAGGCTAGTGAAAAGTGAGAGAAAGAATCACTTTAGTTAGGCAAACGGGACCTATTGTGGGAAGACCTATAGGTGTGGGGAGTAGTTGGGAAGTCTTAAGCAGGGTGGTAGTTGGAGGGGTGTGGAATGTTCTGCGTGGGTTGCAACTGGAGACACCCAGAGTGAGCAAAGCAAATGAAAGCACCCGTCCCTGTGGAATCTATGTGGTACTGGGGCTGATAAAGAAGGAGCAGAGCCTTCCCGGCAGTTTGGGGAGGAGTTTCTTCTGGTAATAAAGAGAAACTGGGTCCAGGTACAGTTTTTGGCACCCCTGCCCTTGTTCCCCCATAGGCCTTGGGATGTCTTTGGCAGATGAGCTTTTGGCTGACCTCGAGGAGGCAGCAGAAGAGGAAGAAGGAGGAAGCTATGGAGAGGAAGAAGAGGAACCAGCCATCGAGGATGTTCAGGAAGAGACACAGCTGGATCTTTCTGGGGATTCGGTCAAGAGCATTGCCAAGCTATGGGACAGCAAGATGGTGAGAGGACACAAGAGCACAGGCGCGCTACAAACAGAAGCTCCCATGAGGGAGTTGAGATAGGGGCAGCAGGTCATCTTTTTGAAGGGCTCTGGTGTTCTGACTATTCTCTCTTTCCCTGACAGTTTGCTGAGATCATGATGAAGATTGAGGAGTATATCAGCAAGCAAGCCAAAGCTTCAGAAGGTACTTCCTTACCCTCCCCATACCTTTTCCATTCACCTGCCAGCCCCATGGCCCTTTTGCTCCTCCTGGCTTTGGAATTGAGTGTAGCTCTCTCTCAGCCTTTTCCAGAGTCCTCATCTTTTCTTCCATTCCATTCCAGTTCATTTGTTCTGTGCAATATTGCATTGTAGCCAGAAGTAGTGGTACATGCCTCTAATCCCAGTACTTGGTAGGCTGAGGCAAAAGGATTGTGATTTGAGTCCAGTCTGGACTCCACAGTAAAACCTGATCTCAAATACACACACACACACACACACACACACACACACACACGTTCATGTTGCATTGTAAAGTTGACATAAAGCTGATGCTTAAGTCCTTACTGTCTGAAGCACTAATTGTTACAGACTCAAGGCTCCCAACTGCAGTGACCTGTTGTAGGGTTTTTGTTCCCTTTAAAAACCATATGTCCTATTGTTTACTTCACATTTTCTTTAAACCGATGGGCATTTTTTCTTATCTTTACCTATGAATTAAATGTATTACTACTGTAAGTGGAAAACTGTTAGATATCCTTTGGTAAGTACAAAACAACCATAAAAATAGACTGTAATTAAGGTATCACCTGAAATCTTTTCTTACTTCCAGCCATGGGGGCAGTAAATCATTTCTTTAGCACTGAGACCACCTCATAAGTGGGCAGTCCTGTTACCATTACCCTTCTGGGCAGGGTAGGACTCTCAAGTAGAAGTTTTTGGCATCAGGAAGCCCTGGGAGGTTGCTGGTTATAGGAGTAGTGTAGTCAAAGTGCAGAATTTTAAGGGAGACCCCCTCCGTCCTTTCTTTAACACTTTCTCAGGTGCCCAGTTGAATCATCCCAGGTCTCTGTTTTCAAAATGCCAGTCTAATGGAGTCAGATCAAGTATCAGGCAGCTATTGGTGGGCGATGCCCACCTCAGGACCCTCCAGAACTATAAGAGGTGCTGACTGATCTTGCCTTAGAAGCCAGGGAAGAAGTGATACCTGAATCGGACTTTGGAGTGAGTACAATGTGAGAGGAGGGGGCCCAGAGAGAGGATGGCCTGCCCTGAGCCTCATATCAGGAGTGCCAGGCGAGGCTTAGGATCATGCCAGCTCCTGCAGGGTTCTAAGTGCCAGACTGAGGAGCTTCTTGATACAGAGATCCATGAAGAGTCACAGAAAGTGTAGTTTCCTGATGCCAAGGTGGGCTTAGGAATTGAGTCAGACCTGCTGACATCTGGTGGAGGAGGTGGCCAACATGACTGTCTAGCAGAGGTGGCTGTAGTGTTGTGGGGGTGCAGAGAAGACATCTGACCCTCCCAAAAAGGGAAGGTAAGATTCTTAGTAGCCATGTGAGTCTTAAGGACTTAAAAAGGCAAGTGAATGTTGGAGCAAGGAGCAATGACTCTGAAGCCATCCTGCCTGGGGTCAGCTCTGCTGTCTTCTGGCTCTGGGACATCAAGACAGTATTCTCCACTTCTTTCTGTGCAAATTGGTCTGGTTTAATACCTGTCTCCCTAAGTGGTTGTAAATGAAATAAACTAGCACCTGTGTGACATTTAGAACAACACCTGGCTTAGGGCAAGTCCTATGTGTGTCAGATGCTGTGACTACTGCTCAAAATTAATTTTCATAATAAGTACCATTATTATTAATGCACAGAGGGCTTTCTAGAAACAGACAGGCGAAGGGAGTGAAACAGCCTTGAATGCTGAGGGAATGGGTCAGGAAGGAGGAAAGGCCAGCTGTGGAGCTGATGCATCATCAGATGTCACTCAAGTGATTTCAGTGTTCTGTGTGCTGACTGTGTAGCTTTGGGAAACACAGATGTTACACTTGTCCTTGCAGGACACCCAGGCATGTGGAGGCTTCAGATGTCAGTCTGGGGAGCTTGGTCATTGGCCTCAGGGTTTGTGGAGAGTCATGGGAGGATGAGATGGGGTCAAGTCTAGGCTGGCTTGGAGACAGACTGGAGGGAGGAAGAGTAGAGGCAGGAGTGCAGGTGCAGGGGATGTTTGCAAACATGTAAACCCGTCACCTAGAGCACGCTTCTGCTCCTCCCTCTTCCTGTCCAGCCTCATCCCCAGTCTCCCCAGCTGTGTGACCTAGGAGGGGTGGGTGTTAAAACACACCCAGAATCCAGGCTGCTTCTCGTCTTCACAGTGATGGGACCAGTGGAGGCAGCTCCTGAGTACCGTGTCATTGTGGACGCCAACAACCTGACTGTGGAGATCGAAAATGAGCTGAGTGAGTCCTAGGCATGGCAGCCATGTCTGCCCTTCCCTGGGACAAGCAGGAACTTGGGCCATGTCCCCTGCTGGCTTTATCAGAGTGTTGCCCATAAAGCCCCTTGTTTTAGCTCGAATCCAGGTTCAGCTGCTGTAACACAGTGGCTTACATAAGAAGGAAGTGCGTTCTGTTATGTAGAAGTTGGAGTGAGCTGACCTGGCCTGGTTTCACCCCTTGTAGGGCCCAGGCTCTTTCTGTCTTGTTAATCTGCCACCTGTTTCATGTTACAATGTGACTGCCCCATCTCCAGCCATCACCTCCACATACCCTCCAGCAAGGTAGAGAGGGAAGAGGAAGGCACAGTTCTTGTTCTTAAGGGCATGGTCTGGAAGTTTCACATGTCTCTTTAGCTGCATTTGTAGCCCAGAACTAGCTCATGTGGCCACGTGAAGCACTTGAGAGAAGCTGGGAAATGTAGGCTTTATGCTGGTTTCCATGTGTCAAGCTATGATTCAGGGGTTTAGTTACTAAAGGAAGAAGGGGCAGTGGGTGTTAGGGATCATCAGCAGAGTCTTTCTCCCCCTCACTGGACACCTGTCCTCCCTATTTATCTTAGACATAATCCATAAGTTCATCCGAGATAAGTACTCAAAGAGATTCCCCGAACTGGAGTCCTTGGTCCCCAATGCACTGGATTACATCCGCACGGTCAAGGTGAGTAGGGGACTCGGGAAAGAACTGAGACTGCTAGCATGAAGCAAGACCCTTGGTCCAAGAAGCCTGGAGGTCTAGAAAGGCTGGAGAGACATGATTGGAAGCTCAGTGCCTCATCAGCTCAGCAGGGGAGGGATGGAATCTAGAAAGGATGTCCTTCCACCATGCTCTTCTCCTCCCCCTGGACCCCCGAGATCATCCCCACCAGCCTGACCTATACTTCTCCAGCTGTAGTCAGAGCAGATGGCATTTGAGTTGAGATCTGAAGGCTGACATGGGCAGCTGTGCAAAGATGCAGCAGGTTCAGTTGCATAAGACCCTGAGTTGAGAGCAAGCCAGGAGGAAATAAAGAGGGTTGGGAAGGTGAAGTTGAAAAATCAGAAAGGTCAGAGCACTTCAGACTTTGAAGGCTTTGAATCCTGTGGAGAGCTCAGAAGTTCAAGAAGAGGATTAGGAGCAGAGAAGACAGAGCAGGAGCAGAGAAGACAGGGAGAACAGGGGCAGAGAAGACAGGGAGAGCAGGAACAGAGAAGATAAGGAGAGAAGGAGATGTCCAGGAGATTAGGGTATTGGCAGAGGAAGTCCTCTTCACCAAATCTTTGGACCTGCAGGCTTATTCAGGGCATCAGGTCTTCCCTGAATAGCCACTGTGCTCAGGTTCCATTTCCAGATGGACCAAGCAGAGCAAATGGTGCTGATGCTTTGAGCAGTGGTGTTCTGGGGACTAGTAGGAAGCAGAAGAGACCCCCAATGTACAGACCCCAGCTTTCCCAGTGTCCTCAAGAAGAGACCAAAATGGGTGTCAGAGCAAGAGAGCTTCTAGTACCTTCCTGAGTTCCCACAAATCCTCTCTTTCAACTTTCCTCTCTAGGAGTTGGGAAACAGCCTGGATAAGTGCAAGAACAATGAGAACCTGCAGCAGATTCTGACCAATGCCACCATCATGGTTGTCAGTGTCACTGCCTCTACTACTCAGGGGTATGTATGCCATGGGATAAGGCACTGCCAGCCAATCCCAGGCCCAGCTAATACCAGAAAACAGTAAGGGCAAGACAAGGGCCTGGCCTAAGTCAGCCAGGTTGGTTCTGATCAAGAACTGGGATTCCCAACAGCCCTTTTGTCCAGGCCTCTGAGCTGATGGGACTTGGGATTGCCCCACAGCTGCACATACAAATACTGTGTATACACAGCTGAGAGGACAGGGCTGGGTCTGTACTCCCTGCAGGCAGCAGCTTTCAGAGGAGGAGCTGGAGCGGCTGGAGGAGGCCTGTGACATGGCACTGGAGCTGAACGCCTCCAAGCACCGCATCTATGAGTATGTGAGTCCCGGATGTCCTTTATCGCACCCAACCTATCCATCATCATCGGAGCATCCACAGCCGCCAAGATCATGGGTAAGGCCATAGACTGGACCCCATAGGCTGGGGGATGCTGACGGGTTGAATGATATACAGAAATCGGGGGGAGGGGGGGTGCTTAGGCACAGGGACTCTAGCACCCTTCTCCTTGGCCTCTTCCTGTTGTCCTCTGAAGATCACCCAAGTCAGCTGGCCTGGTTGAGAAAGCATGGAAACTCTGAGTTCCCGTCAGCCCAGAGGGCTTGGCAGAGCCACCAGACAGACTGGAAAGGTGGCAGCCCAGTGGTGAAAAGGTGGCATTCCCTTACCTGCCAGCATATCCTGCAGTTCCAGCTCCACTTTGAACTACTGGGCAGCCCAAGAGTAGTAAAATTGGCTCTGTGAGCCTCAGTTTTCTCCACAAGACAGTAGCATGTGCTAGTTCCTTCTCCCCACTAGTCCCCTGCAGCCTCAATGGGCTCTCCAGCTAAGAGAGGCTTCTGTGGAGAGCTTGTAAAGCCACCTGGGCTGCCAGACCAAGTTCAGCAGGTAGGGGTGCTTACATATCACACCTTTTGTCTCACAGTTCTGGAGATGCAAAGTCCATGACCAACGTGTCAGCAGAGTTAGTTTCTCCTGTGGCCATCTCTGTGTGTCTGTGTCTTAATCTCTTTATTTAGGACTCCAGGTGGATTGAATTCAGGCCCATATGACTTTGTCTTACCTTAGCTATCACTTTAAAAACCTGATGTATACATACAGTCATGTTCTGACTTCAGCATATGCATTTGAAGATGCACAGCTGAGCCCCTGACAGCAGCCTTGGGTGGAAAATGTGTGCTGAGTTGCAGAATAGAATGAAGCAGTATGTTGAGGATGGGATACTTGGTTGTACATCCTGGCTCTATCCAGTTGACTTCACGTCCTTGAGTGTTTCCTTAGTGGTGATCAACTGATGTATTAGTTTCCTCTTGGTGTTATGACAAATTACCACATGCTTAGCACAATTTATTATCCTCCTTTCTGAAGGTCAGAAGTACAACAGGGGTCTCATTGGACTCAAATTCAGATGTTGGTTACTTGTGTTCCCTGATGGAGATTGGGGGAAGATTTCCATGTCTTCCCCCATCTTCCAGAGGCCACCTACACTCCTTGGCCTGTGGTCCTCCCTCCATCTGTCATCACTGTCACTGAATCTCCTATCTCCTGCCTCCCTCTTTCCTTCTACCTTTTTTCTTTTTTTTGGTGAAACAGGATCTCACTATGTAGCCCAGGCTGGCCTCAAACTCATGATCCTTCCACTACAGCCTCCTGAGTGCTGGGATTACAGGCATGTATTACCACACTCAGATTTCCCTGTTCTACTCTTCAGGAGCCTGTGATTGCATTGAGTCTGCCTGGGTAATTCAGGACACTTTCCATTGTATTGTGTTAAGGATCGCTCACTATGTCCTTAACCCAATCCCATCTTCAAGATACTTTGGGCCATATAAGATCCCACATTCACAAGTTCTGGGGTCTAAGATGTGAACATCTATGGTGGCCACCTGCCCGCCCCCCCCCCATGGCTTAATGTCTACAATGGAGGTATGTTTTAAGGATTCATTTGTTTGCTGAGACAGTTTGGCCAACTCTTAAAAACATCCTGAACAGGGCCTGGCTCACAGCTTAGCCCTGTCAGTGGTACAGGCATTTTCCTGTAGCTCATTTCCCCTCCCCTTGCCCATAAACAGGCTCACGGGGGATCCAAGTGAAGCAGACCCAGGTCCTGTTGCCACAGAGCTGGTTTGATGAAAACATGTAAAACAAATAGACACGATCCTCAGAACGGGGTAGTGTAGCTTAGCGGGGACCTCGGGGTCAGCTTCATACTGGGCCACTTTTCTGGCTGTGCACCCTCTGGCTAGTTGCCTCCTCTCCAAGCGTCCACTGATTCTTCCCTCATTGAGATGAGACTCATCAGCCCTCCCTGCAGGGTCAATATGGGAGTCCACACAAAGGCACACAGGACATGGTGAGCCCCAAATCTGTGCCTGCTCTGACCCCCTTTCCCATTGCAGGTGTGGCCGGTGGCCTGACCAACCTCTCCAAAATGCCCGCCTGCAACATCATGCTGCTCGGTGCCCAGCGCAAGACCCTCTCTGGCTTCTCATCTACTTCAGTGCTGCCCCACACTGGCTACATCTACCACAGTGACATCGTGCAGTCCCTGCCTCCGGTGAGTCCCCTCTTCTCCCCAGCCCCTGTACCTGACAGTAACTGTTGGGCCTGGTGAACAGGGCAGCATGGGGTATAGCAAGGACGCAGTTCTGGGAGTTCCTCTTAGCCATTGGAAAACTGTTTGTCTAGGTCTCCTCCTCTTTGACACGAGAGAGCAGCTCTGCCAGGCCTGATGAGGACCTGGTGCATATGACACAGTTACAAAGCAGACCTTGCACAAAGCAAGCAGTGCGAGACTAGCTCATGAGTTTAGGGGGCCCCCAAGACTCCTCAGGTTTGCTGATTTACTGGAAGAATTTTCAGGACTCATGAGAGTCATTATGCTCATTCACGGGGCAGGTTACAGATTAACACCTGCTACAGGTGCATGCAGGGCTGGGTCCAGGGAAAGGTGACATCTCTGGACTTCCTGCCATCCCCTCCATGGAGTAATAAAGTGATTTCTTTCCCAGCAGGGATGTCTGACCCACTGGAATGTCCTCGAAGCCTCAATATCAGGGTCTCTTGGGGCTTGACCATGGAGACACAATGGAGTTACCCATGTAGTTTACCTCAGTCTCCAGGCTGACCGATATCTCCAAGCAAAGCCCCACTCTAATTTAAACAAGTGGTCTTTCCTGTGGAGAAAAACTAAACCACCATATAATCATTGGCTAGTTCAAGGCCCAGGCAAACAGAGCTCACTTCCCAGGAGCCCAGAGCAAAGACCATGCTTCTTGGGCAAGGTTAAATTCTTTAATGCACATCAGTGCTGCCAGTTTTATTACTTATTATGATTAATTGGGCTTCATGGCTGTGGGTTTTACTTGCACCCTTTTAGTGTTTCCTAAAACAAGGACCACTTCCCTTGAGTGGCCCGGAACATGAATTCAGTGATGCACAGATGGGTCTTTTTGTTGTAATTGCCATATGTTTTAACCTTATAATTTATTCTCCCATTTGTGATACAATTAAGTTGACTTAAATGCGTTTGCAACTTTTAAGAATAGGCCAAAAGAAAGCACTGATGATATGATTGTGTTATCATGATAGTTGTAGTGATAAACAGTAATGGTTAAAATACTGAAGTGATAGAGTGCCTGCCTAGCAAGGGTGAGGCCCTGAGTCCAACCCCCAGTACTGCCAAAAAAAAAAAAATATGAACAGGCAGTGGTGGGTGAAGTTTTGGAAGCACTGAATGATTGCATTGAGTCCTCACAACCTTGCAAGGATGATGCCATTTTTTTCCCTCCACTCTGGTGTTATTACTCCCTTCTTGCTGCCAATTTTCCAGATGAAGAAACTGAGGCATGGCCACATACCGGTGGCTCACACCTGTACTCCTAGCTATTTGAGAGGCTGAGATTGGAAGGATTGTGGTTCAAGGCCAGTCCTGGCAAACAGTCCATAAGACTCCATCTCCAAAATAACCAGAGAAAAATGGTCTGGAGGTGTGGGGCTCAAGTGGCACAAAGCCCTGAGTTCAACAAAACCCAGTCCCACCAAAAGAAGGAAAGAAACCAAGGCATATAAAGTCAGTTGCCGGTCTAAGATAACAGGTAGCAGAGCCCATCTGAATCTAGGTGGTTAGCCCCATTGCCAGGGCCCCCACTCTGCCTCCAGGCACCCTCTGCCTCCAGGCAGAGGCATCTCCCTATGCTGCTGTTGTATGAGTGTTATGAGTGGGATTGAGAATACACTCTGGCCCTGGTCTATCATTCTGTGATCCCACACTCTGGGCAGCCTCCCTTGCCACCCATGGGATGGGGAGAACAGCAGTGTTGATGGCCAATGCCAGACAGGCATTTTCTGGCCCTCTTCTGGGCCCTGCATGTCAGTTTTCTCCTTTGTTTCTTATTGTGGCCCTCTACATCAAGTACCCTACTGGTACAGAGCCAGAGATGCTGGTAGTCTTCCCTGAGTCACAGGAGGAGGATGGTTGTGGGTGTTGGAATCCAGCAGTGATAAGCCCAAGGTCTGGGGCTCCAGCTGCAATTCCCGACTCACTATTTACCCCCCATCTGAGGCAAGAGGGTTATCCAGCCCAATCCATTCCCCTGGTGGCTCATCACCAAGCACCCCTCTCTTGCTCCCTCTGTCAGTCCCAGGTTAGCTCAGAAACAGGGTGTGGACCATGGAGTAGCCATCGCTTCAGGGTGGCAATTGGGCAGCTTGGATTGGAACCTTGACTCCATCACTGGCTGGCTAGGTTTCCCCGACCACATGACTTGGAGCCTCTGTCCACATCTAGAAAGTGGGGATTATGGTCACACCAGCCTGATGCTTGAGCCTTTATGAACTGGTCCCTGGAGTGTACTTAGCATGTCCTGGCATCTGGAATGTGTGTTTGGCTGGTATTCCCAGTGGTGTTATGCTGTCGTCCTCATCATCACTATGGCTTGCTGTAGTCTTACCTGGGCTCTACTGCTTGTTGGCATTGATGTCCATGGCAGGCAGCTCTATTCCTTGCCCTCATCCTTGGCCTTGTTGTGAACTGGTGATAAGAGTGTACCCCTTGAGAGACTGTGAGGATTAGACAAGCCCACAAGTGTGAGGCCTACTTGCTAGAACCCAGGGTGCAGTCAGCTCTTGATGAAGAGTAGCCACTGTTACTGTGGTCATTGCCTCTGTTTGTCTCTCTTTCTGCCCTCCCCTGCCCTTTCCATTACTCCAGGATCTCCGACGGAAAGCAGCCCGACTGGTGGCCGCCAAGTGCACACTGGCAGCCCGTGTGGACAGCTTCCATGAGAGCACAGAGGGGAAGGTGAGAGGAAGCCAAGTGTCTGTTTCTAGGGCCTAGGGTCCAGGGAGAGATCCATCACCAGAGGTCCATTACAAACAAGCACTTTCCTGACAGGCAGATGGGGTATCTGCAACCCTCACCAAGGTTAGGGACCCTCATTCCCAGTGTATTCGTTTCCTAGGGTTGCTACAACAAATCAGCACAAGGTTAGTGGATTAAAACTCAGGCTTCTTGTTTTACAGTCCTGGAGGTTAGAAGTCTAACATGGGACTCCCTGGGCTGAAGTCAGGGTATCAGCAGGGCTGTTCCTTTGGAGGCTCCCAGGAAGACCCACTCCTGTGCCTTTTCCAGCTTCCAGAGGCCTCCTGCATTCCTTGGCTAGTAGTTCCATCCTATTTCCAAAACCAGCCATGTAGCATCTTCAGTCTCTCTCTGGCTGTGCTTCATCTTCACAGCTATTCTCTGACTGTGTTTTAAGGTCCTTGTGATGACGTTGAGCCCACACTGATAATTCAGTATACTTTCATCTCACAGTCCTTAACCTGGTCACACTTGCAAAGACCCTTTGCATGTGAGGTGACAGCACAGGTTCTGGTGATTACAATACCCAGATACCAGGGAACATCCTTGGATGTGCCGGAGGGGACATTATTTTGCCTACCACAGAGGATCTATCCTCTCTACCAACAGGGGACATCATCCAGTTGATTATTCTGTTACCGTCTGTCTTCTTCAGTAGACTTAGGAAAGTAGGTAGGTCTCTGCCTTGTGCAATATTGTTTTTTAGTCACCTCTCCTGGTACAGCGTTCATGACTGACTCTTTTATCAGGTCGAGATACTGGTAATACAGTAGAGAATAGCACAGACACACCCTGCTTCTACGGCATTTATAGTCTGGTTGGGGCCAAGGTGACCAAACAGTCAACACAGAAAGTCTGTAGTGTGAGCAGCAGTAACTGAATGCCAAGAACAATAGAAGGAACTGGGTTGGTAAGGGAAGCTGGATCCTAACTTGGCCAAAATATTAGGGGATGTTCTCTAAGGAGGAGAAGTTTTAACGTGGACCTATGTGAAGTTAGAGAATCTGTCGTGCAGAAGAGTGTTCTAAGCAGAGTGAATGGTGAGCACAAAAGCCCTGAGGCCAGAGCACAAAAGCCCTGAGGCTGGAGCCCCAGGAGAGAGTGGAGGCCCTGGTAGACTCAGAGGCAGATAATGCCCAACCTTACATACCCTGAGGGTGGGGGACTCTGGCTGTGGTGGAGGCCAGTTGGGGTCTGCTCTAAAGGAAGAGATTGGGGGGAGTGGATTTGTGGTGTGGGAGAGACAATGCAGGTGACGTGCTCTATCTGCTGGCCCAGGGGTTGGTGCAGAAGGCTGAGGACATGCAGGGATTCTGCTTGGCCCAGTTATGTTTGCAGGGCTCAAGCAGAGCCAGTTGTCCTCAGGGCACAGAGCTCAGAGGCTGAGCCCAAGACACAGATTCAAGGCCCATGAGGTTCTAGATGACACTTAGAACTGGAGATCCCATAAGACCCCAGCCCAGTGAGTCCTGGGCAGGGCACTCTGCTCAGGTGTACAGACAGATGATGAATGGGTAGACACAGGGATATGGCCTGGGTGGTTGGCCTATATGAACAGCCATAGCCTCTCCCTCATTCCCTTCCAGGTGGGCTATGAACTGAAGGATGAGATTGAGCGCAAGTTTGACAAGTGGCAGGAGCCACCACCTGTGAAGCAGGTTAAGCCCCTGCCTGCCCCCCTTGATGGGCAGCGGAAGAAACGAGGTGGTCGCAGGTGAGGGGCTTGGGTCGGAAAAGGAAGAGAAGAGAAGGGGTTGGCGACTTTCTAGCTAACTCTTTGTGCCCTGCCCCCACAACCGTCCTAGGTACCGCAAGATGAAGGAGCGGCTAGGGCTGACAGAGATCCGGAAGCAGGCCAACCGCATGAGCTTTGGAGAGGTCAGACCCCCTCCCCAGCAGCTGCAGAACCTCAGGGGTTCCTGTTCTCTTCTTCACCCTTTCAGGCAGAAAACAGCCAAGTCCTGCAGTCCCTGCACCCCCAGCTTCTCCCCTCACACCCACCCAGCCCTAATGTGATCTCTGTGATCTCAGAACTGGCTGCTCTCCCATGGCTTCCCAGCTGCCCAGCTCCTCGAAGTCTCCTGTTTACCAGGCTCTGCAGGCCTCCCAGGTCTGTGCTCCCTGCTCCAAGGCTTCCTAGGTTCAGCTGACTTTTTGAGGTGCTCTGCTGCAAGCTCCTATCCCAGACTCCACCACCTTCTGTCTCTGAGCATCATCCAACTGGTCCTATAAGAACCAGTTCAGGTGCCACCTTAACAGTGACATATGTCCTGAATCTTTTTATTTCTTTTTCTTTTTTTTTTTTTGGTGGTACTGAGGTTTGAACTTGGCTTGAATGCTTGATAGGCAGCTGCATTTATGGCTTGAGCCATGTCCTGGATCTTGACACCCTGACATGCCCATGCATATAGAAGAAACAGTCTGTCTTGACTCGGCTCAGGGAGGAGCACCAGGACCTGGTTCCTCACAGAGTCCCCAGTGTCATCCAAGTACAGTCAGGCCAGGGCCTCACTGAGTCCCCAGCATTATCTGTGTGTGTAGTTAGACTGTCTTCACGGGGTTCACGGGGTCCCGAGTATCACCCAAGTGCAGTCAGACTGGGGCCTTTCAGAGTTCCGAGCATCACTGAGCTCATTTGGACCTGGGCCTTGGAAGGCTGTTGGCATTATGTGGAGCAGGCCCATGGGAGCAGCCAGCCAGAGACAGCCTGCCTGGGTGAGGGGCTGGCTGAACATGGCCAGCTGCCCGACTGCAGAATACCTCCCTTTCCACCAGATTGAGGAGGATGCCTACCAAGAGGACCTGGGCTTCAGCCTGGGCCACTTGGGCAAGTCGGGCAGTGGGCGTGTGCGGCAGACACAGGTGAATGAGGCTACCAAAGCCAGGATCTCCAAGACACTTCAGGTATGGGCTAGTCCGGGGGAGGCCAGGGCCTGAGGGGACATGGCCCTGGTGAGCCTGGGTCACAGTCTCCCCCTGCTCCCACAGCGGACCCTGCAGAAGCAGAGTGTGGTATACGGCGGGAAGTCCACCATCCGCGACCGCTCCTCAGGGACTGCCTCCAGTGTGGCCTTCACCCCACTCCAGGTACCATCCCACCACTACTAGAGTCAGGAGGATCAGCTCTGGCTGCTTCCAGTCCTGGTCTACTGAGTGGCTCTAGCCAAGCTCCTTCCCCATCTTACTCTCAAAGTGGGTACATGATAGATCATCATGGGGTTCCTGTTGACACAGTGCAAGAAGGACTTCAGCAGCTCCTGCCACACAGTAAGTGCCAAAAGTTAGCTATGATAGGAGGTGGCACATAGCTGTGCTGAGCACAGACTGTCTTTAAGATCAGGCCTAGGACTGTATCCAGGTGACCCAGATACTCTCTGAGCAGATTACAGCTCTCTTGAGCCTCCAGGTCCTTGCCTTCAAAATGGCTGGAGTGGTTGGGGTAACTTCGTGGCCCACTTGAGAGTTCACAGTTGGGTGAGCTTGGACATCATGCCTGAGTTCAGGTTTGAACCCAGCAGCTATGAGTAAAGTGGAGCTGACTGTCTCTCTCTTGGTACCTCAGTTTACTCACCACAGAGTTGGATGAATCTGTCCTAACATGTCACATGGGATTGATGAGCTTACTCGCCCACTCCCTTGCCAGCAAGTATCTACTGAGCACCTCCTGAGTTCCTAGTACTGTTCCATGCTTAAGAGATAAAGCAAAAGACAAGATACATCTTGCCCTTGTGGGATTATGGCCAGAGAGGGACAGACGGATAAGTAAAGTGTACAGTATTAGAAAGCAGTGAGTGCCAGGGAGAAATGGAAGTGAAGGGAGATGGAGGCAGGGAGGTTTCAGTTTTAGAGCAATCAGGGAACAAGACAAGAATTACTGTCTTGAAACCATTCAGAACTAGCAGGCCATCATTGTCCATGGTGTTAGTGTGATTTGCACTGGGATTTTGGCCAGCCACTTCCCTCTGGGACTCAGTTTCCTCATTTAGAAACCTAGTAGGAGTGGCTTTTCTGAAATATTAGTGTTTTCACCTTCACCTGGGAACTTGTTAAAAATCCATACATCCAACCCCTAACCCCCGCCCCCACCAATTCCCTAGATCTGAATCTCCTTAATTGAGGGAGATTGGGAACTGGCAAATGGTTCTCATGTTCACTCAAGCCTGAGACCATCCAGAAGGGTCTGGGGCCCTCTAACATGTTGCAACTCTCTTGCTGGATGGAGAAAGGGGCTGTTTTGGGGGGTCTGGGTCCTTCTCCACCCTACATCTCATCTCCTCTCCCTCCCCTGCCAGGGTCTGGAGATTGTGAACCCACAAGCAGCTGAGAAGAAAGTGGCAGAGGCCAACCAGAAGTATTTCTCTAGCATGGCCGAGTTTCTCAAGGTCAAGAGTGAGAAAAGCGGCATCATGTCCACTTGAGGGTGACTTGCATCCAAGGTGGCTGTCCGCTGAAGGAACATGGGTGCCTGGTCCATCCAAAGAGATGTGCACTTGGCCAGGTTCTGGTGGAGATAGTTTGTCCCACTCTGCCCTCAGCCCAGGATCTGAACATCCAAGGAGGATGCTGAAGAGCCTCTGCCTACCTCCCCCAGGACTGAGATCTCCACCCCATTGGGGCAGAGCATGTTTTTATCCTGCTCAGTTTTTTTACTTTAACTGGGAAAGGAGATCCTTTTTTTTGGAAAGAGTACAATTAAAAACACAGAATCAGGATATGTCTGTCATCAGGAGTGATCATTTGTGAAATACATGGAGGAGGCAGAGCCACGGGGTTTTGGGGAAAGAGCTTGGGCTTCCTGTCTAAGTGGTGAGGTCTCCACCCTCACCATCCCTTGTCCTGGCTTCCAGGAGGAGAAAAGCCCTATCCATCTCAACTCTGGAGAAGAGCAGTCATCTTGATGATCAGTGTGGCCACCAAAAGCCAGCACTCAACCCAGGCCAACTGGATCATTCTGGTCCCTTGGGTCACAGGCCTCCACTTTCCAAGCATCCACCCCTACCCATGAGGTACCTAGGAGGGCTGGAAGGAAAGTACTTGGCACTGGGCTTATGGCAGGACCGAAGAGCTGGGTCCTGTTGTTATTTGTAACCAGTGTTTGTTGAGGGTACATGCCAAGGCCTGACAAGGGTGAGGCAGGCTTCCTTGCCCTGTTTGGAACTAATGGCTTCAAGTTCCTGCCAGGAAAGCAGAATGCATGCATATAGACATGCACTCTACTCTTGTAGAGTAGAGGCTGTACAAGAACTGAGAACTGAGGCTCAGCCAAGGCTTCCTTATCTGTGCACAGGGGAAAGCAGTTCTGATAAGGGAACAGCATGGACAGTGAGACATGTTTGACCAAGAAAAAGTCACTTCCAGGGTTCCATTCACTCTGCTGAAGCTGGTTTCACAGTGGTCCTGAGGACGAAACCCTTGTCACTTGGACTTTGAGGTCAGGGCTCCTTTCAGTTGCCCAAAATCTTAGTGGATCTGGCTTCCCAGGTTCTGTCTTGCTCTTTCTGTTCCTCTCTCTGGACCTTTGCCTGTCACCACTCTGTCTCTGGATCCCAGTCCCTCATAGGTTAGCAAGAAAAGGGGCCCTTTGTCCACCATTCTGTTCAGAATATCCAGTTCCCTCCCTGGGCTGGCTGTCTGACATCTGCCAGTAGGGTGGGGGTGTGAAGGTGTGAATCTCAAAATTCAACGTGCTTTGGAGTTACTTAGAGGGTTTGTTAAAACGTGGTTGCTCAGCTCAGAGTTTGAATCACTTTCCTTAGGGTGAGGTTCAAAAGTGTGCATTTCAAACAAGTTCCAGGTTCTAGAAAAGCATCCCTGTGAGTGGCTCTTAGATTAGCTGCATGTTGGAATCTGCTCAGGAAAAATTACTGATATCTGGCTCCCACCCCCAGAGCTGGATTTACTTGTACTAGTGTAAGCCTGGGCATCTGGATGTTTAAAAGTTCCCTTGGGTTATTCTAGTGTGCAGCCAGCCTGAGAACCACTCGACATCCGTGGGCTCTCAGTGTGAAGTATGGGTCATCAGCCTGGCCTGGGAGCTTGTTAGAGAGCAGAATCTGGGACCTCCTGAAGTAAAATCCCCAGGGGATTTCCTGAAAAGGTCAAGGCCCTGCTACACCCAGGGACCACACTTTGAAAAGCAAACTAAAAAGCATGGGGGACCACCAAGGAAGTTCAGAAAACTACAAATCCCCAGGCTTCACTCCCTTAGGTCATTTTTACAAGCATTCCTTCTCTTGCCTCATGCGATTCTGATGGGGGTGGTGCAGAATGGTTCAGTATGTGTTCAGGTTCTTCAGGTCCACATCAACCTTGGATTCATCCTGCTTTCCTCCACCTAAGTAGGAGCGGCAGATCTGGCCTCCCACTTCCACTGTTTGACCCAGGGCAAATGCTTCCCTGATCATAAGAGCTCAGTGCTCAGTGCGTTTTCAACCACGAGTCATTTGCATCATTCATCTATTCATTAGGCAAAGGGATACTGCGTTCTTCCTGCATCTTGAGTACTGGTGATGCAAGATCCAGAAGGGGAGACACAAATAAGTATGAAAATGACAGCAGACGTGCAAAATGAATCCAAACGAACAGGACTTGCCTGAGCACTCAGCAAGAAAGATTAGGAAAGTTTTCGCCCCAAGAAAAGACAAAGGTAACGAGTAAGCATTACAGAGGCCAACATGCGAGGGAAAAGCCGTCTCATCTATCTTAAGCGTCCTCGCAACACTGAGGAAACGGAGGTGCAGAGGAAAGGGTCCCACCATCTGCCCATGTAACTGGTCAGAGGCGGGACCAAAACTCCACGCCTCGTGGAGAATCGGCGTTCCAACCGATTCTGCTATGCACGGTGCTAGTAACTTGTAGACAAATTCCTTCATTCTTTCATTCAGCAAACACTAAGTTTCAGAGACGTGCTAAACAGAGGTATTTGGTGAAAGGTGGTGCAACTCAGAGACAGGGACCTGCCTACTTGGCTGGGACGCTGAGGATGAGGAAGGATGCTCGCAAGACCCACACCTGCTGGCTACTCCTTGTCACACTTTATGGAGCAGGTGCCGCCCACTCGCTACGCTATTGGTCGAACTGAAATGAATGATAACAGAACCAGTGAAGAAAAGGGGTGGGCCTTCTTTCCCAACTCCTCCCCCTTGGCTTGGCGGCTGTTTTGATTGGCAGATGACTTCGGCTTGGCCCCCGCTTTGAAGGCACCTGTCTGTCTCCCATTAGGTACGCAGCCCTTAACGCCCACTCTCCATGCCGTCCTTCGTTTTCCCCACCCACTTTCAGGACCACCCAATGGCTACAGAGCAGAATATATCCCGCAACCAATTAAAAACGGCTCCAAACTTGACGGACGACTTCCCGCCCCTGATCAGCCTGACTCCTCCCCCCAGCCAATTGGTTTAGGAGAGGGGGGCGGGTACACCCAATCAGCACGACACACCCCTCTTGATTGACACACGGATCCTCGCGCTGGCGTGTTGTGCCCTGAGGCGGGAGGTGGAGGAGGAGCGGAGAAGAAAACCTGAGCCAATCCTAGTAGGCTGCGCGGGAGGCCAATCGAACGCCGCGCCTTGCAGTGATCACCCAATCTGCTTGAGGGGGCCGGCCGCGTCCCTGACAAGGACCAATGGGACACCTCCGACGGTAAAGAGCGACATGTGGCAGGAGCAATGACGAGCCTATATTCGGGGTTCGGGGGCGGGTCGGCGCCAGAGACGAGAAGAGAGGAGGGGAGGCCTCCTCCGCCGCCGCCATCTTGGACCGGGCCCGGTCAGCTTCCGCGGAGCCATCGGCAGACGCCGCGGCCTCCCTTGAGCCCCGACCCCCGTCGTCAGAACAACCCCGGGCCCATTCCCCCTACCCCACTTCCGCTCCGTGCCGCTATCGCGATAGCGCCCGGGCCCGGGGCGCGAGAAAAAGGCGGCGGGCGCTCGCCTCCCCCGCCTGTCGCGATACGCTCCTCAGCGGCGGCGCCAGCTCCTGTGGTGAGAGCGTCAGGCTCAACTGGGCCGGACCCCTTCCCCTCCCCCGGCGCCGTCGTCCGTACCCCGCGCCGCCTCCCGCCCAGCGACCCGCCGCCTGTCGCGACACGGCCTCCCCACCCGCCCTGTCCTCGTCGCTACCTCGCGCCCCGGGCGGAGCCCCCGCCTTCCTCCCTACTCCTCCACGCCGGCCGCCCGCCCGGACCCTTCCGCGCCGGACCCCAGCCGCCGCCCGCGTGGCACCACGCCGGCCCGGGTGCGAGGTGCCGCCCCCTCCGCGTCGGTCGGGTTGGGGGGCCGGGGTTCTGCCGGGGGGCCGGGCCCCGCCGCCGGGGGAGTCCACCCTTCCGGGGCTCCCTCTGTGCCTCCGCCTCCCGGAGCGTGGCCTCTCTGCACTAAGGGTCCAGCTCGGCGGCCGGTGGGGGATGTGTTTGGAGATGGAGCGGGTGCGGGACAGCTAACTCCCCGAGACCCGAGCTCGCAGCTCCGTTGCGAGTTGGAGCCTTAAGCCAAAGTTTGCACCTCTCAGTTCAAAAGTCCCCCCAGGCGGCCACATCCCGCAGCCTGCCTGTTAGGGAGCAGGGAGTTCCCCCTTCTGGGCTTCAGGACTGTCCACAGAGCTGCTGGTGGTTTCCTGGTCTCGGCTCTTGTCCCCTTTTGGAGTGGGTATGCGCCTCTGGCTGTATGGATGTGAAGCCACAAAGACAGTGGTTGCAAACTGCCTGCCTCTCTGAGGATGAGCTGCCCCTTGCTGTCAAGTGCATGGGTATTGGTGTCTTGGAGCCCTGTAGCTCCCCAGGGTCTCAGGTACTTGACCTGTCTTGGTAACACCTCCTAGGCCCCTACTCACCTTGATCAGCTCTCCTTGTGGGCAGCGCAAGAGCTCCTTTTTCTAAGTAGTAGTTGTCTCTCAGTGCAGAGGCTGTCACCTCCCCCGGGATTGACCCCTTGCACTTTTCTTCTGCACCTTCTTTCTCATCTCCCCTCACTGCATGGGTTGTCACCTGAGTCTGAGGCCTATACTCCACTCACATCTGTGCCCCTCTCCTTTGGGGTGTCATTTCTCCAGGGACCAAGAATCCTCCCTTTGGTGTTCTTGTCAGAGCTGCCCACCTCCCCCGCCCCGTGCATGTGATGTGATGGTCCCATCCCTGAAAAACACTGGGTGTAACTGGAAGTAGAACAAGAGGTCTCACACCTGTCCACCCAACTAGCACTCTGTAGGGATGTAAGGGCTTCCAGACCTAAGGTTCCTGCTCTGCAAGGGTTGCCTCTTCTCCCTGAGGTTGTGCTTTTTTTTTTTTTTTTTTTTTTAACCAGGGTAAGGAAACTCTTAGTGTTGCCACCCGCTCGGAGTTCCTGCCTTCTTTGATGTTGGCATCAGCCCCTCTCCTGGATTTAAGGTGTCCATGTCCTCTGTCCTCACTGTGAGGGTGTAGATGCCCCTGGCTCAGACTTCTCACCTCTGTCTTTATGATTTCTCACTGTATGGGACTAAGGCAAAGGTTTGTTGGGGTGTGAGGTGCCTCAAACTTGGGAGAAACCATACTGTGGTCATCTTCCCTGGAACTAAAGATTCCTCTCATGTAACTTTTCAAGTTGAGGGTTCCCAGTCCCCCACCTTTGTTATAGGGGCAATAACTATCTATCCAGGACCTAATATATCTATCTCCCAGAGCCACAAAACCTCCATGTTGCAGCACCAGCATCCTCTCCTGGATTAAGGTTCAGCCTCCAACAGTCTCAGCAGAGCTCCTTGCCTAGAGTGGACACTATCTGGATCAAATGCATCTCGTGCTCTAGTCCAAGACTTGTATGACAGCCCTGTTTCAAGGACTAAGTTTGCTTAGCATGGAATTGCTATATGATGGTGTCTTGTCCCCTGAGGTTAACTGCTGGGGGCTCCCATAGGTCTGGGGTGTGGCTTCCCTACCCCACCCCCTTAGTGTGAGCTCCTGACTTGTGGATGTGCCTTTCCCTTGGACATAGGATCCTCATAGCTGAGCCTTCTCCTGGGCCAGGGGTCCCAGATTCCTCAGTGCTGTCTGAGAACCCTCACTATCAAGTGCATGTTCTTCTGTGTGAAGGTGCCCACCTACATCTGAGGGGCCTTGTGGTAGTGGCCTCCTTGGGTATAGGAAAGAGCCCTCAGTGGACAGGCTCTTAAGTGATAGTACCTCCACTCTGAGGCTCTACTACCAGCCTCCCTACGCCTTTGCTGGGGTAGGGTTCTGAGATGCAGGCACCCCTCTTGATACAGGATTTTTCTTTGGGAGGTGAAGCCTCCACTGTAGCTGAGGCTTCAGCCTCCAGAGCAAAAGTAGCTTGGCCTATGGCACTTGCCCTTCCATGTGGCTCACCTGCGTTTCTCCTATCAGGTGTTGTCCTCTCTGGTCACAGCTGTGCTCACCTTGATGTCAGAATCATTGCTTCTGGAACCTTTCTTTTCTTTGGCACTTCTGGCTCTTTCAGGACTTCCTCCTTGCTGCATAGTACAGCTTCCTGTCCAGGGGAAATGTTACTACCTTCCTGTAGAGGGTCCCAATCCCTTCACTATGGGATTGGGGAAGGCATCACCTCCTACAGTATAGGGGGCCTCGTGTAGGTGTGTGAACCATGAGATATCTTTTGGGCTGGAGTACCTGTCTGTGACCCTCTGTTGGGCTCTTGGAACAGAGGAAAAAAAGTGAAGGCTCTTGTCTACCATACCAATCTAGATGCAAAAAGAGGCTTTTCTGTGTTGGGGTGTTGGAGCCAAGAGTGTTGGTATCCAGGCCCTTGTATAAGCTCCCTGGATCAAAGGTAGTAGCCCCACCCCATTGTGAGTCTCCTGTGTGGGACTGTCTCCTGGGTCCTTTACCTGGTTGGCTCACCTTTGTGGAGATTCCCCATGTATGATGTGTCAGCTGACGCTGGGCTGAGGGTACTGCTGTTTCTTTTGATGGACCTTTTACTGAGGAGAGCTAAGCTCTCAAAGAATTAAAGGTGCCACCACCACCCATCTTCACTCAGAATGGGACAATACGGAGTTGGTAAAAACTTCCCAGTGGTGGAGGTGCAAGCCCTGTCCTTTTTGGGGCTCTTGTTCTAATACTTGTGCTCAGATACAGTGTTCATTCAGTAGCTATTAGCCACATGTGACTACTACTGAGGTAAAACAAAAACATGTTGAGTATGGTGGCACATGCCTGTAAGCCTATAATCCCAGCACTTGGGAGGCAGAGGTAAGAAAATCTAGAGTTTGAGGCCAGCGTGAGCAACATAGGAAGACTGTCTCAAAAAAAGGAAAAAAACTAATTCCTCAGTTGTACTAGCCACAATTCAAGTGTTTACTGGCTATTAATGCAGTATGGGACATTTCCAAAGTTGCATATTCTTTGGGCAGGGTTGTTCTCCAGGTGACCTCTCATTAGTGAGGACCCCTTAGTATGGCTGTGCTCTAGTTTAGTCCTGAGTGTGGGATTGTTTCTGCCTTTACGATTGAGGGGTCCTCTGGGGCACCCCTGCCCTATGTCAATAGAATGGGACACTCTAGAGCTCAGAAACTCTGCTGGCAGCTTAGAAGTCCTTTTAGCATAATCCTCCTCCCCTTGTTCCAGGATCAGGCCTTGTGTTATGGCTTCCCCCACCATAGAAATCCTGGTTGTCTCCTCTTTGCTCTTAGGCCCCTCTGGGCTACATGTAACTTCTTTGAGGTAAAGTTACTCTGTAAGTTTTGGGTGCCTACCCCGCTGGTTCAGGTTTCTCTGAGTCTAAATTACCAGTCCATTTGATATGGGATTCCTCTGTGTGTGCAGATTGACTCCTTAAGGTACATCTTCACTCTTCTTCCTTCGTAAGATTTCTGTCTTCTCCTAGCTCCCTTAAGTACTACTTTATGTTCCCAAGTCTCTAACCTTTCTTGGTGTCAGGCTCTTTGGGTTAAGAGTATCTCTTTCTGGTTCAAGAATTCTGCTCCAGAATAAATTTCTTGGAGGTATAAGGCCCTCTTCTGTTTGCCATTCTGTCATCCTGTCCTGTCTATAGGAACCAGTTGAGCTCCTCATGGTTTCAGACATCACCTGTCACCCCTACAGCCCAGGCACAGGTACTCAGTATCAGGCCTTTTTCTGCGAGATGCCAGTTTCATTTATCTCCTTACCTGTCTGAAGAATGCTCTCTCCCAGTCACCTCTGCTCCCAATCCCTCTGTATAGGAAGTGTGATTTCTAGGGCTGGTGCCTTGTTCCTAGCAGTCACCTGTGTGCTGCATGGCTTTGTCTTACTCAGAAATATCCTTTAAATGTAAGCTAGGGAAAAGATACTCCAGACTGTAGGAATTTTCCACTTCTTGGGTCAGCGGCCCACAAAAATGTTATCTTCCCTTGTTTCAACAACCTCCTAGAGTCCTGTTGGCCAAACCCTGTGCTGGGCAACTGAGGGAACATAAGGAGAATTGAGCCTGGTCTCTGTCATCAGATAGTAAACTCTTTTTCCCTGTACCATCCCACCTACCCCGTTATTCCCACCCATATCCATGTCACTGGGTTTGGAGTGGCTGGAGAATAGATGCTCATTCCTTCCCCATCTTTCCCAGCAGCGTCCGTTTCCAAGAGAGTATGAAGAGAGTGCATCTGTAAGGCAGGGAAGATGGCGGACAAGCGCAAACTCCAAGGTACTAGACTGTGCATTGCTTGTGTAACCACATGCCCTCTGTTTTGGGAATTCCTCTTTGGATGCTTGCTGTCTTGGCAGGATTCTAACAGCCCTCCTTCCTCCCTGGCCAGGTGAGATTGATCGCTGCCTCAAGAAGGTGTCCGAGGGTGTGGAGCAGTTCGAAGATATTTGGCAGAAGGTATGGGGCAGGGGCTGGTACAGGTCCTAAAAAACTGGGTTGTAGGGAAGAGAACATAGGAAGAGATTTAGGGTCTCTGGGCATTGACCAGGAAGAGAGACTGCAAGTCTTGATGCTGAGGACTTAGAGAAGCAGCTCTGTGATGAATTGAGGGGGCAGAGGGTGGGGTGGAGTGGTCCTAGATTTCCCAGCCTCAGAAAGAGAGATACTGGGCCTTTACTACTGTGGTGGACTCTGAGGCAGCCACTCCCACACTGACTGCAGAATTCTTCATCCCTCAGCTCCACAATGCAGCCAACGCGAACCAGAAAGAAAAGTATGAGGCTGACCTAAAGAAGGAGATTAAGAAGCTACAAGTGAGGGGGCTGGGGCTGGACTCCTGTGTCCTGTGGGTGGAGGGATTGGGAGAGTGGACTACTGGGTCCCAGGGAGAAGAGGTCATGGGGGGGCCCATTTCCCAGGTCTGCAGTCTGACTTTCTTGCTTCTTCCATCTGCAGCGGCTGAGGGACCAGATCAAGACATGGGTAGCATCCAATGAGATCAAGGACAAGAGGCAGCTCATAGACAACCGCAAACTCATTGAGACGGTAGGAATCCTGAGGGCTGGGAAGGTGGCCAGATTCCAGGGACCCCAGGTGACAGTGGAACAGCCATTCCAGAGGTCCTAGGAGGAGTAACATCCTATACCTGAGGGATGGGCTGAGGTGATGGGCTCAGAGCCTGAGAGGTAGGGTCCCCAGGCTCCAGTTCAAGTGTTGCTGGCTCTTATTACTTCCTTTCCCATCTTTGAGAACCCAACCCCTCCCCCTTGCCAATTCATTCTTTACAGCAAATGGAACGGTTCAAAGTTGTGGAAAGAGAGACCAAAACCAAAGCTTATAGCAAGGAGGGCCTGGGTCTGGCCCAGAAGGTGGACCCTGCCCAGAAGGAGAAGGAAGAGGTTGGCCAGTGGCTCACGGTGAGTTGGGACAGAGAAGGAGGTAAGATCAGGGGCCTTGCCTTCTGGAGTACACAAGAACCATGACTGATAGCTGCCTCCTCTCCTCCCTCCCCCCAGAACACCATTGACACCCTAAACATGCAGGTGGACCAGTTTGAGAGTGAAGTGGAGTCACTTTCAGTGCAGACACGCAAGAAGAAAGGCGACAAGGATGTGAGTGGGGAGAGCCCTGAAAACTGAGGGGTAGTGGGTGGTGGTGGACTGGTGAGCAGGAGACACAGTAGAGGCCTATAGGAGTTGGAGTCTGGATGCTTAAGGCAGAGTAAGGATCAGGGATTGGAGAGGCAGAATCCAGGAGATTAGCTGACTAGGAGGTGCAGGGAAGACATGAGGCAGGATCTCGGATGCTGGTTGTCTGGGTAGACAGTGGGGGCCATCAGAAAGGGGAGAAACTTGGGCAGAGTTAAACTCAGGTTTAGCTGGGGTCTAGAGTAAGTGTGAGAGCTGAAGGACAGCAGGGGGAATCCGCACAGCCCTCAAGGGTCCCAGGTTCTCAGGAAAGGGTGGTGCATGTGGACATGGAAGGGCACTGAGAAATCAGTGGATATGACCTGCAGGAGAAACATGGTCTGGTCTAGGACAAAGCCAGATGCTGGGGTACCAGATTCCACACCTCTAGTATTGCAGGTGTATGAATTCAAAGGGATGTCAGTTGCTTAATGAGGTACCCAGAAAAGGAAGCTGGAGGTAGAATAGGAGATGGGGGTGTAGGAAGTGTGTCAGAGTTGGGTGTCAGACCCTGAGGGACTTGGGAACCAGGAACTGGGAGGGGAGATAATGGTCCTTGAAGAGAGGAGGAATTAGAACTGAGCTAAGGTGTCAAGTCCTAAAGGGAATTGAGACCTTGGGAGGGGTAGGGTTCATGAAGGCAAAGTTTATCATATTGTAAACAGTAATTTCCCCACAGATGGGGACTATAATTATTGCTGTCAGAGCAAGTCTGATAGGTATGGGGGTATGTGTCCCAGGAGGAGGTCAGAGGGGTGGGAAGATTTAGTGGAGAGATTTGGACTGTCAGGTGAGGTGCAAATAGAGGCCAAGTTGTAGGGGTGGCATGGAGACCTCTGGGTCTTTAACAGGTTTTCAGGGATGTCCAGGGTAGGGAGTAGTAGGATCCCTGAGATGTCACAAGCCTCAGATCAGTCCCCACTGGGACAGAGGGTGGGCAGACTCCACACTGCCCCAGGCCAGAAGGGGCCAGAGTGGAGCCTCTGGGTCACCATGGGGACTGGGGACTGAGGACAGGTTCTGTGGGGGCAGGAGGGTCGGGCAGGTGCTCTGCAGCCCCTGAGCCTGGCCCTGGGCTCGCCAGCAGAAGCAGGACCGGATTGAGGGCTTGAAGCGGCACATTGAGAAGCACCGCTACCACGTCCGCATGCTGGAGACCATCTTGCGCATGCTGGACAATGACTCCATCCTTGTCGACGCCATCCGCAAGATCAAGGATGATGTGGAATACTACGTCGACTCATCCCAGGACCCTGACTTCGAAGAGAACGAGTTCCTCTACGACGACCTGGACCTCGAGGACATTCGTGAGGCCCTGGGCTGACCTTCATGGTGGAGTGTGAGGGTCATGAGGGGTGGCTGTACCAGCTAAACATGCCCCCTCCTCTGCCTCCACAGCACAGGCGCTGGTCGCCACCTCCCCCCCTAGCCACAGCCACATGGAGGATGAGATCTTCAACCAGTCCAGCAGCACACCCACCTCAACCACCTCTAGCTCTCCCATCCCACCCAGCCCAGCTAACTGCACTACGGTGAGGCCCTGGAGTACAGCAACTCATATTTCCAAGAGGGTGGTCGTGGAGAAGACAGAAGCCTGAAGTCTTCCTTCTGTCCTTAAGGACAGTGGTTCCCCCCACGGGTTTAGGCCACATGTGGGTGCTGGGTGTGGGAGGTGGGAAGGGGCTAAGGTATGAGCTCACCTGAGGACCTGGGAGGCTAGCTGCCTCAGGCAGGGATCCAAGGGCTGGATTCCATAACAAGAGGAGATTCCTTTGTCCTTTAGAGGATGGGTGGGGGGTGTTGAATGCTAGTTCCCAGAAGACAAGGATCCTGGGGAATCCACATTTAGGTATTTCTCAGAAAATAAAGTTGGGTGTTGAAACAGGTCTGGGGCAGAAGGTCAGTCAGCTGAGGCCAGGTCCCTGAGAGGTTTGGAGTGACAGGCCCTCCTTCTGGGTCCTTAAAGGATTGGCATCCCAGGACCCTAGAGGTTACAGTTTCTGACTACCTTTCTCACCTCAGGAGAACTCTGAAGATGATAAGAAGAGGGGACGTTCAACAGATAGTGAAGTCAGCCAGGTGGGTCCAAGCCTGGAATTTATGACTTGTCACTTCTTTATTCCGTGGTCCCCAAAGGCTTATTGAGGGAGGCCTGAGTGCCAGCCCCAGTGCCAGGCTCTGGAACCCAGTGATAGGTCAGAAGTCAATGCCACCCTGCATACAGGCAGGTGACTAGTGCTATGATTGAGGTGGCTGTGCCCTGGGCTCCAGGAGAAGACTGGTGGTGCAGAAAGGCAGCAGCAGGTCACAGACACATTGGACAGGAAGCTTGGAAGTATGAGAAGTGAGGCTGGCTTGGGATTGTTGAGCTGAGGGGCTTAGACTTTGTGGATCAGCTCTGGAGGGGCAAACAAGCCAGAGAAGTGATGGGTCGGAAAGTCAGACAGCCTGCACTGTGCTCACAGTGGACACACGAGGCAAGTTCCTGAGAGGGGAAGGAAGCACTCAGCACTCAGAATTCCTCTTGTCCCAGTGGACCCTTTTAACCCCATTTCCTTCTCCTAAGATAGGACCACACTTAAGGAAGAAGAGTAACGGTACATAGGAGCAGAATGGGCCCCTCTGGGCTAGTGGGAGGAATGGTCCCAAGGGAAGGCGCTGAATGGACGTTGATGTTGCTACTGTGGGGACCAGGGTCTAGGAGCAACAAAGGGATTGGGGCAGGCCATGGCGACAGGAGAGACTGAGGCAGGGACTATCAAGTGCAGGCCTGCTTCGGCAACTTCCCAGGACCCCCTGCCAACCAGTGATTACAGGAAGGAAGGGAGTGGCCAGTTCCCTTTGGTGCTTGGTGGAGACGACAGCACATGCCGTCTGTCAGGCTTGGCTGTAGTGGGGATGCCCTGGCCACCACTTTGTGGAGTGCCATCACTTATTGTCCTCTAAGAGGTTTTGGTGACTCTTTAAGTAACATCAAGGACTACTGCCTGATTGCCATCTGTTTTCCCTCTACTCTTGGAAATTAGGTTTCTCCAGCTTATCCCATATTGTGCTTATTTAGAAGATCTATCTGTCAATCTGACAGATAGATCTTCTCTGACAACGTAGAGAAGTGTTAGTTCCTTGTGGGCCAGATTAGCAGGTGCACAGACAGGACTTGGGAAGCTGGGTGGGCTGAAATAAATGTGTTAAGCACAAAGGTGATTGAAGCCAGGAGATATCCTAGAGGGCCAGAGCAGTTGAGGGCAGAGAAGAGACTGGTTGGACACCATGGAACCTGAGGCCAGGGTGGGTAAGGGAATGGATGGCCCACTGGGTCTTAACCCTCTGTCTCTCCTCCCTGCAGTCTCCAGCCAAAAATGGCTCCAAGCCTGTCCACAGCAACCAGCACCCCCAATCCCCAGCTGTGCCGCCCACCTACCCCTCCGGCCCCCCACCTGCTGCCTCTGCCTTGAGTACCACCCCTGGCAACAATGGGGCCTCCACCTCAGCAGCACCCCCAAGTGCCCTGGGCCCCAAGGCCAGTCCAGCTCCCAGCCACAATTCGGGCACCCCTGCCCCATATGCTCAGGCTGTGGCTCCACCCACCGCCAGCGGACCCAGCACTGCCCAGCCCCGGCCCCCCAGTGCACAGCCAAGCGGGGCAGGTGGTGGAGGTGGCGGAGGAAGTGGCAGCAATAGTAATAGCGGCACAGGTGGAGGGGCTGGCAAGCAGAATGGCGCCACCAGTAAGTGGAGGCTGGTGGGAGGGAGAAGGAGCCACAGGCAGGGCAAATAGCACCAACAGATGCCTCCCTTTACTTTTCCTTCCCCCAGGTTACAGCTCAGTAGTGGCAGACAGCCCTGCAGAGGTGGCCCTGAGCAGCAGTGGAGGCAACAACACTAGCAGCCAGGCCCTGGGGGCCACCTCAGGTTCCCACAACCCACCTCCTAGCACCTCGTGAGTGTCTCAGCAGGACATGGGCATAGACTCCCACCTGCCACAGAGAGGCTGTGGTATTTCTTGCATTGCAGGGCCACAGGCCCTGCCCTTGCTGGGTTCAGTACCCAGCGGGATGTCTTCCACCTTGGCTAGGTTTCTTATCCTTATTCTTTTCTACCTAGGACATGGGCTCATTAGTCTCCAGCCTTCCCCTTTAGAATGCCCTAAAACCTGTCCACTAACTGGGACTCTGGGAGAGCCCCACCGTTACTCCCTCCCTATTTCTGTTCCCTGCCTGGAGGCTCCCTAACTCGCACTGGAGGGACTGTTTCACTTTTCAAAGTAAAATGTCTCTGAGTTCCTCCGAGCCTCAGATCAGAGCACTCTGCTGGAACCACCTGTTTCTGAGTGAAAGACCTGTCATCCAGTCTCCATCACACCCAGCATTAGCTGGGCTTCTTGGGGTACCTGTCCAAAGCTGCATGTTTTGTGACTGAAACACTCAAACCTCCTGCTCAGTGACTATTCTAGAGTGCTGTCCCCTCCTTGTCCTGTATTAGCTCCATGGACTGTTGGAGCACCCTGAGATTCTGTATTCCCATCTCCATAGCTCTGCATTACTGAGGAAGAAGGATTCCAGAGATTGGGTCTACCTTTGCCCAGAAAAGCTACTTTTGTCCCAGTTGGCCCTCAACTGCCCCTTTGGAGCCCATCTTCTGTGACATCTTCCTACCCATCTACCTTCAAAAGACCTTTCTCTGAGCCTCTTGTCCATTTTCTTTCCATAGAAAGGAACCCAGTGTGGCAGCCTCAACAGGGGCTGGGGGTGTGGCCCCAGGCTCAGGGAACAACTCAGGGGGACCCAGCCTCCTGGTGCCGCTGCCTGTGAATCCCCCCAGCTCTCCAACACCTAACTTCAGTGAGGCCAAGGCAGCTGGTGCCCTGCTCAATGGGCCTCCACAGTTCAGCACTGCCCCAGAGATCAAGGTAAGCTCCTCAAGTGGCCCTCGTGAGTCCTGAGCCCGTCTGGCCCTGCTGTACCCTTCCTCCAGGTCTCTAATGACCACCTCCACTTCCTCTTCCTCCCCCTGGAGCTCTGTTTCTTTGGCTTTTTGTCCTCTTCTTGTACTTGTTCTTTCTCAGGATCTTCCTGTACCACTCACACCCTGACCTTGATATCTGGGGCTCTCACACACACCTTGCTCTCTGGGACTGGGTTTCTTTCCCTATCTTGGTTGTATGTGCTCAACTTGCTCTCCCTGGGTTTATCTTCATCTCTTCCTAGACTCTGGGTCTCTAGCCTCATTTTTCCTTACAGACACTGGTGCTTCGTACTTCACATGACCCGTTTCCTAGCTCACCACTATCCTCCCTTCTAAGAAACCATTACATACAAGAAAATATCTGTTGCAGTCAGCTCCAGGCCAAGCTTTGTGCTGGGTGACAGTAGCCTATTCCTGCCTTCAGGAGTTATCTGGGCTGGCAGAGGGAGCTGTGTGCGATCGGGGCAGCTGTCGAGGAGGCAGCTGCAGCCCACAAAGGGGGCATCCAGCCTGACCTGGGAGACAAGCCCAGGAAGGCTCTTACAGGGAGATGTTTAAGCTGAGACTGGGCTAGGGCAAGATGTGCCAGTCTGTGTGGCTAGTCAGGAGGCTGGGTGGGACTCAGCCAAGTTGCAGGACAGTCTCTCTCCAGTCTGTCCATCTCCAGTTGCTGGCATTGTTCTTTCTGTATCTCACTTCCTTCATCTGAAGAATAGAGATTATCACGATTACACCTGCCACATAGGATTCTTTGCAAGACCAGTCCTCTAGAGCCCTTGCAACAGCTTCTGGCTTAGAAGAGGCATTCACATTGTAGAGATACTGTGGATAGAAAATTCAGTGTGTGCACTTTTTGGAAAAAAGAAACAAGTGTTGAAATTTTCAAAAAGAATCCAGTTTTTAGAAGAAAAGGATCACTGGGGTGGGTGATGGGGAGCCTTGGAAAGGCTGAGTGGAGAGGGACAAAGCTAGGCCTCACTGGAGAGGTCACTGGGACAGAGTGCAGGGAGGTGGCATGAAGGCCTGGCCTGCATGCGCATGGTGCAGAGTGGATTCAAGGGGACTTGGATGCAGGATGAAGGATGGGCCCTGGTGACTGGAGGATTGTTTAGAGAGTGGGGAGGAGCCAGCCCTGACCATAAGATGCAGAATCCAGCTCTAAGTCACTTATCATAGGAAAGCTGGGTGGGTTCAGCCTGCTGTTTCCAAGGAATCCCTGAGGGATGACTGTCACCCCCAGGGCAGCACTGCTTCCCTCCGGATACCACACTGCTGTGGGCAGTCCAGTGGTGTTTTGCCAGCATGTGGTGTCCTTATAGGAGGAATATATACCACGGTGTGTCCTGTGTCAAAAACGCTAGCATGCTAGTGTTCAGCAGTGTCTTTCCTTTCTAACATGTGAAGTTCTGTTTTCAGAACCACTGCACAGGATTCCAGATTAGAGTACACTCAACGTTCCTCTGTTATGGAGGCCTTGGTGGTTTCTGATATTCCCCACAACCATGGTGCTTTAACATGTCACTGGTCCATCTTGAGTGGGTGACTGGCTCTAAATGGCCTTCCCAGCAGAGCAGGCAGAGTATCCGGGGCCTGTCAGGCTGTGCATTCTTACCTAGCCCAGCCTATGCACCAAGCTCTGAGGCCAGGCCTGTCTTTCTCTCCCCAGGCCCCTGAACCTCTGAGCTCCCTGAAGTCCATGGCAGAGAGAGCAGCCATCAGTTCTGGCATTGAGGACCCTGTGCCAACGTTACACCTGACAGAACGAGGTGAGGGTTCAGGGATGGTGGCAAGGAAGCAGACCAGAGGAGGGGACTGGTCACTCTCCATCCTCATTGAGGGGGCCTGCGCCCCTCACCCCACTCCTCCCCACAGACATCATCCTGAGCAGCACATCAGCACCTCCTGCCTCAGCCCAGCCACCCTTGCAGCTGTCAGAAGTGAACATACCACTGTCACTGGGTGTATGTCCGCTGGGCCCAGTGCCCCTTACCAAGGAGCAGCTCTACCAGCAGGCCATGGAAGAGGCCGCCTGGCACCACATGCCCCACCCCTCTGACTCCGAGCGCATCCGGTGAGGGGCTACAGAAGGGCTAGGGGCCAGGGCTCCTGAGTCTAGGGAGGAGGTGGTAGCTGGGGAGCTGGCTCCAGGCCCTAAGAAATTAGGTAATATGTTGGCCCATAAGGCACTAATGACTTGGTTTGGGGCTTTCTGCAGGAGGTAGGGATACATTTTGGAGCATTCTCCTGAGGTCATGGCAGCAACCATGGGGCACCTAGTACTAACTCCCTGCTGTTTCACAGGCAGTACCTCCCCCGGAACCCCTGCCCAACGCCCCCCTACCACCACCAGATGCCACCCCCGCACTCGGACACCGTGGAGTTCTACCAGCGCCTGTCAACTGAGACACTCTTCTTCATCTTCTACTATCTGGAGGTACAGCAGGGCCCCCGGGGCAGCCTCGGGCCCCCCGGCTCCGCCGCCACCGCCGTCGTCCCCCCTCGGGCTGGAGGGGCGAGGTGGGTGCCCCACTGCGGCCACCGGGACCGCATCCCCTCCCTACCCCAGTCCTGGGCCCCTGCAAACCAAACCTGTCTCAGCCCTATCTAGCACAGAGATGTTCAGCTGCTCAGGCCAAGGGAGAGGCTGGCCTCTGCAGAGGCTCCAGCCTATTCATGTTTCTCAGAGGCATGGCTTAGGGACCCTTCTTCAGCATTCCCTGGGCAGGCCCCTTAGTCTCTAGGATGTCCCTTTGCTCTGCAGTGGGCATACTCTCAGGCCTCTGTGGAGACCTAGGGAACCATCTTGACCTCCTGCTGACCCTAGTGAGTCACAAGTAACCTCCACCCTTACCCTCACTTGAGAAGTTTTCTAAATTATCTCCTCTCTCAGCTCTCATCATGCATTAGTTTCTCTTCCTTCTCAAAGCTTCTCTGAAAGCAATTTCCACCTCCTGTCTCATTTTTCTTCTCCTGACCAACATTGGTATGTTCTGTGCCTTCAGCACTGCCTCCAAGTGGATTGTCCAGCCCAACTGTGGTCTGTGGCGGGGGACTGGGTTCAGCTCTAATGTCCTGCCCCATCCCCCTACTCCCTGTCAGCTTGAGGGTCTCCTGATCCCCTATCCTCCTTTCCTCCCCCAGGGAACTAAGGCACAGTACCTGGCAGCCAAGGCCCTAAAGAAGCAGTCATGGCGATTTCACACCAAGTACATGATGTGGTTCCAGAGGCATGAGGAGCCCAAGACCATCACCGATGAATTTGAGCAGGTGAGGGCCCCGCCCACCCTGGTCCCACTGGGATGCGGTTAGTGTCCCCAAGGTCAGGCAGCCTTTGCTGGCCTTTCTTCTTCAGCCAATTCAGTCTGCAGACTGACCAAGCTGGCCTCCCTCAGCTACTTGCTTTATCTAGGAAACTGTCCTCATCCCCCTCTTGTCCAGCTCCTACTCCTCTAGGTCTGAGCCCAAACGTCCCTTCCAAAGAGAAGAGCTGCTGGCCTGTCCCTTCAACTGTGAGGCACTGGGCACCTCAAATGGGTGTGGGATTTTCTAGTTGGTGATGTCTCCCTGAACCAGGGCTTGATGCACAGGGACCTTGATAGCCCCTTCCTGGCCCCCAGCAGAGCAGGGGCTTACCACATTCTCAGAGGGGAGGCTGCTGTTTAAGTGACCATCTCATGTTCCAAGAATTAGCTGATTGGAAATTCCCGCTTCCCTGAACACCTACCTGGGTTTGAGCTCAGCTCAAGCTGGGTGACTTGGGCACCATGAACCGCTCTACCTGTTTCCTTATTTGTAAAAATGGGGGTAATAGGCTCCACCTCATGCGTTGTTACAAGGATTAAACGAGTTAATAACATGTAAGTACTAATGGTGCCTACTACACAGCGAGCGTCACGGACATGTTTTCAAATTACTTTTAAGTCTGTGTGTTCCACAGGGGTTTTTCCTTACAAATACTTCACAGGTGCCAACCTCCCTCTTGGTGGTCCTTGTCCTCACAGAACTCATCCCACCCCTCCGTTCTTCCTCGCTGTTTTCTTTGAGGCGTGTCACTCACTCACTCAGGACCCAGCTCCTCTTCTGTGTCCTCTCCAACACTGACTGTAGGCTTCCTGTCCCAACCTGGTTTGGTCCTCCACATTAGTGTATTTCGGGGCCTCTAGTCATTTAGAAACCCCCACACCACTACTGTCACAATAAAGTGTCTGTCCTTGCAGAGCACTGAATTTAGACTTTGAGCCTGTTGCGTTCTCTAGGCCTGGAGGTGGTACTATTGCCCCAAAGTGAGGAAGATCAGATTAGGCCTTACGACTGTACTTGGCACACACACACATGAGGTGTTTCAGAGCTGCAGCAGTGGAAGCTTTGCCTGGCTTGAGTACAGCCTCTGCACCCTGTTCCACTCTAAAAAAGACATGATAACCCTTCCTACCTGAGAAGATCACGGAGGGTGGAGTGAGAGCACGCGTGTATAGGACAGTCTGCCTGGCACCTCTGCAGCCCTGAGAACTGCCCCCTTTGTCTGTCGGTCTGGCCCGGATCCCAGCCCACCTCCTCATCCACTCACTGACCACCTTCTCCCCCGGCCAGGGCACCTACATCTACTTTGACTACGAGAAGTGGGGCCAGCGGAAGAAGGAAGGCTTCACCTTTGAGTACCGCTACCTGGAGGACCGGGACCTCCAGTGACACCGGCCCCCCTCTACCCGACCCCTCCCCCGCATGCTGATCCCCCTGCCCAGGTGAGGGCCCTGCCCTGGAAGACTGGGGGTGGCCCCAGGCCATGAGGCACCCCTTCCCCCAGGAAGCAGGGAGGTGGCTGGGAGGTTTTCTCTTCCTCTCAGCCCCACCCTGGGGGCCCGGGGGCGAGGGCTGCCCCCTCCTCCTCTCCCCAGTGAGGGACATTTTTTGGTAAACCTATTTTCATTTTGGAAAATATTTATGAATAAATAGTTTTATATGACGGCTGGCAGCAGCAGCCTCTCCTGTACCCCCTCAAGAGTCAGTGAGCAAGAGTGGGGTCCTGGCGGGGGCGTCGGGCAAACTGGGGATTGAACTGGGAATTGTACCGCCGGCGCCGGTCATCTGTCTCTTCCTCTTCCTGCTGGCCCTCCTGGGGTGCCTGGCCTTGGACTCGGGCCAGCAGGGCCTCTGCCCGAGCTCTCTCAGCTGTTTCTCTCTGAAGACGCTCAGCTCGAAGCTGGTCCAGGGATGGGGACCTGGGGGGAGGGGAGCAAGGTCAGAAAGCTGCACAGCATACATACACACACACCCATAATCCCCCACCTCATGTTGAAGGAGCTGCCACCTGGAACGACTGCCCATAGCTAACCCACAGCCTCAGGTCTTGAAGCCTGTTGGGAGGAAGCCATGCTGCTGGTATAAATCCTTAGACCTGTCCTCCCAAGCACTTCTGTCCTCCCCAGTTCTAAGATCAGATATCCTTCCAGGTCAAGAAAGCAAATCCTAAGCCAGGTGCCAGTGGCTCTTGCCTATAATCATAGCTACTTGGGAGGCTAAGATAGGATCATGGTTCAAAGCCAGCCCAAGCAAATACTTCATGAGATACCCATCTCAAAAATAACCAGAGAAAAATGGACTGGAGGTGTGGTTAGAATGCTGTTTTAAGTGCAAAGCTGAGTTCAAACCCCCCCCCCAAAAAAAAAAAAAACTACCCTGGGCCTCAGTTTCTCCTTCTGTAGTAAAAACAAGACTGTTCTTTGGGGTCTGGCATCTTTAGGGACATAAACCATTTACTGTAATCCAGTGGTTCTTATACTCTGGTCTCAGGACCTCTATATTCTTTTAAAAAACTGAGGGTTTCAGAGACCTGTTTAAGTTGATTATATCTATTAGCAAATAGTGATTTAGTAATGAAACAGAACTCTTAAACACAGACATTCATGCCATTAGCTATCAGAGTGGTGGCATCATCTCAGGTCACAAAAATAGGCTTGACTCTAGGCTCCTGAGAGGTATTTTGGGACCTGCCCCTGAACCACATGGTGAGAACCGTTTCTCTGTCTTGCCTTCCCTGATCAGTCAGAGCTTTTGGGTGCCCACACTGGACTGCAGTTAAGCCCTGGAATCGAGGCCTGGTCTGTGAACTGTATCTCATTCTTACTCCTTGGGCCGTTTGTCAGACTCCTTTCTGGCAGGACGGCCTTCACTGCTTTGCTTCCTCTTCTTTCCCAGATGTTTCTGCATCTCCCGTAAGGGATCTAGGCGGCTCTTGACCTTCTCATCTGGGC